ATCTGGGATGTTCAGGATGTAAGCAAAGCCGTGGAGCTCAAAGGCTGCCATATTAAAAAGGAATATTTATTTCTTTTTTATTAGTCCTCACCAGAGGATATTTTTCCTTTTTTTAATTTTTATTTTTTGAGAAACAGTGGAAGGGAGGGGAAGAGACAGAGAGAGAAACATCCCTGTGAAAGAGACACATATATTGGTTGCCTCCTGCACACACACCCACCAGGGCCAGGATTGAGCCTGCAACAGAGATGTGTGCTCTTAACCGGGAACTGAACCCTTCAGTCTACAGGCTAACGCTCTATACACTGAGACAAACTGGCTAGAGCAAAAGGGAATATTTCTTAACAATGAAGTCTCAAAATATTGTTGCCATCATGTTTCTCACTCTCACTACACTGAATTCATGCTTCCAAAACAATTATTAGTGGATCCTCGGTCTTGTGTAAGAAATTTTAATGTGTAAGCTTAGTGCAGTAAACTAAGGGATGGACTAAATGGTAAAAATAAACTGAAATAGAATGACCATAATTTAAGAAGATCATCCACTTTAATAAACTAAATTATCTGGAGGAATAGCCACCTGGACCCGGGTTATTTTATGCTTTCAATCCAGCAGAGTACTTCTCAGAGCAGGAAAACCAATTTTTCCCCCCACTGTTTACTCTTTTACTGATTTTGATTTTTCCCTCTTTTCACCAATAACCAGAAGGGTTAGGAGAACCAATTTAACAGATGTTAGAAGATGCTGCAAAATAAAACATGTTTCATTTGGACTAAACACACACACACACACACACACACACACACACAAAAAAAAAAACCTGATAAAATGGCTGATAAACACCATTTCAATGTAAAATTTCCAATAAAGTTGAAAAAAAATTTAAAGTCTTTGTTCTTAATAAATCTGCTAAGTTATGGTACTATGAACTACTAGTTATTTTAAGTTTAAATGTGCATATGATGCTTAATCAATTTATTTTATTATCTTTACACACATCTTACAGAAAAATAACATTTATAAAAGCTGTATTTATCGTTGATATGCATATGGAAAAATACATTTTCAAAGAAATGGATAAATATGGCTCCGAAGTTTCCATTTCCTTGACAGTCCACTTAATAAAATATTGGTGAATTATTTCAGAAAAATAAAACATTGAATGGAAACATCAATGATAAGAATCATGGATTGGCTCTTCCTGCATACCTCACACTGGGATTTGCAACCTGGGCATGTACCCTGACAGGGTTTGGGGAATTGAAACATGACCTCCTGATTCATAGATCGATACTCAATCACTGAGTCATGCAGGTCAGACAAGTCAGTCTTAAAGTCTTAAGGAGAGAATAAGGTGTGTTGTGTTAGTGGGTGTGTGTATGTGTTTTGGTTAATCCTCACCCAAGGATATTTTCCCATTGATTTTTAGGGTGGGTGGGAGAGGGAAAGACAGAAACATCAAATTGGGGAGGAACTTGCAAACCAGGTACACTGCCTTTGACTGAAATTGAACCTGGGACCCTTTGGTCCTCAGCCAATGCTCTACCCACTGAGCCAAAGCAGGTAGGGTGAGTTTTGAAATAAAGAACCAAGATTCTAGCATCCTGGCCTATTATTCATTTTTTAAAATGTGTTCATAATACTTAAGGGTTGAAATGTGTTCCCCCAAAAGATAGTCAAGTCCTACATGTACCCAGCTATATTTAATAGAGCTGCTCTACATTATGCCTCTATATTTACATAAACTATTTTGTGTATCATTGTTAGATTTTAAACTATTCTTGGTTATAATGACATAGAAAATATGCTTTCCCATGTTCAATCAACCAGAGTAAAATGAGATCATTAAGTTCTTTGCAATTTATGTTTGCTAATAATTCAGCCTAATATTGTCTATAAACTTTTGGGAATTAGTAGTCTACTAAAATTCTTCAGTTTTTCAGACATATTTTGCTTTTAATTCAGGCCTGTAACGCTCATCCTCCATTTGTGCAGCTGAACTTTAAATGAAGATAAAACATTTGTTGAATCCTCAGTCGTGTAGAAGAAATCTTTTTTCCCTTTGCTGTAATCACAAATTTGACTAAGCTTGCCTTCAGTGGCATAGTCACAGGCAAAGCCTCATGTCACTACATGAGAAATTTATTAGTCAGGTGTAGGGAGGGCGCGGTTATAGGAGTAAGCCTCGGACTGACCTGCAGGCAAAATCACAAACAAGTTCCAGTTTAGAAGGCACAGTCCTCTAAGCATAATTAAGCTTGATCTTGTGACTGCTCTCTAGATCTTTCCTGGATAGTTAATGGGCTGTGGGAGGGGCAGCAAGTGCTGCCAAAACAAGTGAAACTTATAAGAACATTGTACATTACCTTGTTTGCCCCTGACTATAAATAAAGCATCAGCTTTGCAGTCTGGATCTGTTCTGTAGCTTTGGCCAGGCACAGAGGATCCGCCTAGACCCAGCTTATTCTCTTGTCTGTCTTCATCCTTCACCGGCCCTCCCTCAGGCTCGCCAAACCCTCGGCTGTGCTGGTGCAGCAGTCTCAGGATAATCTGGATTCAGTTGTTTTAAACCAGCTAAAAATTTAACTATTCCTAGTCAAAACTGATAAAGGAGGTACCCAAGTTTTTGATCCAGGTAGTAATTACATAGTTGTAATCATCCATCAATCTGTGTGCCTGTTTGTAAAATGCACTTCAATAAAAATGACACGGTATTGCAAATACTGAAAATCACCACTGCAATCTCATTCAAAACTATAGTCTTCAGGTCACAGGTCCCTTCCCTAATTTGTATGGCCTGTCACCCCCCCCCCCCCCCCCCACGGCATCAGATTTATTTTGTAGAGAAATTGAACAGAAGAGGCTCAGAGATAGCCCTGGGTGAGATGGGCAAACATCTGAAAACAGAGGGATTCTGTGAAAGGGCACCTACTAAACCGGGGAATCTTAAGCCACCTTTCCATACTGATTTCCAGAATTGATGGCATCTGGGCATATTCTTCGCCAGATATAGGAAGGTAATTCCCTGGAGAAACTGAATCCTCTTCCAACCTACAGAAAAGACAGTCTTAAATGACTAACTTGCTGTCTAATCATCTAAAATGGCTTCCCAATCACATTTGCAAATTCTTTCCCTCCTCAGCAATTCATTTTAACTTGGAAACTTCCAAGTTCATTTAAGGCTAATAAGCTCTTGACTAAGTATCTCCCCCTATTAGGATTTTCCCTTCTTTTTATTTTTATTGATTTCAGAAGGAGAGGGAGATAGAAACACCCATGAGGGAATCATGGACCGGCTGTCTCCTGCACGCCCCCTACGGGGATCAAGCCCACATCCTGGGCATGTGCCCTTGACAGAAAATTGAACTCAGGATCCCTCAGTCCACAAGCTGACACTCTTATCTACTGAGCCAAACAGCCTAAACCTGGTTTCCTAACAACTACTCTGTTTCCCCGAAAATAAGATAGTGTCTTATATTAATTTTTGCTCCCAAAGATGTACTAGATTTTATTTTCAGGGGATGTCTTATTTTTCCATGAGCTATGTCTTATTTTCCGGAAAACACGGTATTTTGCTTCTTTTCAAAAAGGGAGCCCTAGCCAGTTTGGCTCAGTGGATAGAGCATCAGCCTGCAGTCCAAAAGGTCCGGGGTTCAATTCCAGTCAAGGGCACATACCTTCTAGTTTGGGCTCATACAGAAGGCAACCAATAGATGTGTTTCTATCACCTGGATGTCTTTCTGTTTTCCCTTCTTTCTTCTACTCTCCCTAAAATCAATATCCTCAGGTGAAGATTTAATAACTAACTAACTAAATAAATAAATAAATAAATGGAAAAGGAACTTATCAGAAAAATAACTCTAAATTTCAAAATAACAATTCAGTAAGTTAGAATTACCAACTTTCCATTTGAGTTAGAATCTACATAAGTGAGATTAAGTCAGCCCTAAAAAGTTTAGCTCTATTCTTCCATACAATTTCTAAGTACAGAAAAAAACTGCTTTAATACCCTCTACTGAAACAGGTAAATGGAATTTCCCACAACACAATGTCTGATAAATACATATTGAAACCTTAAAGAAAAGTTTAGCAAATAAAACACTTACAAAAAGAAAATCATTCCTTTTATTGCAAAAACAATAATTTAACGATCTCTGTGCTTTTCCTTATAATAAAATAAGAAGTCACAGCTGATGTTCAAAACTGGAAACCAGGTAATCAGACAAAAAAACAGACATTTATTTCAATAGCTCAAAGTGCAAATACAAGTCAGTTCACAAAGTTTCAAGATACAGCTTTAAGTGTAATAAAAACCTGATTTACAAAAATTAAAGGGTAAAGAGCAGAAATAAAGCTTCATTTTTGAAAAAATATCCAAGAAGCATGAAAACTTTTAGACGAAAATATTCCATATACATCAATTCAGAAATACCCTAATTTACAGAGGCCAGTAGTACATTGGAATCCAAAAGGCCTTCTAAAAGAAAGAAAATCACCTCAAACTGGTCAGCTCCAGAGAGATTGGAAATTCTTGGTGCTGGCTACTCCTAATTTTGCAGCCTCATTCAAAATGTATCAACTGATGTCATTCAACCTATGATATTTTGATCTTCAGGAAAACTCTAGAAAATGTCACAAGTTCAATTTAAGGCCAACATCCACTATTAATAGTTTTTGAAGTGGTCTCTATATATTTAAAAGATTTAAAGAGCTATTTTCACTTCAGGCCGATGGGGAAAAGACATAGATGAATACTTCTAATACTTAAAAGCTTGTTGTAAGGTTAACAACATGGCCTTTAAAACTTCCTTACTTATTCCTACACATACAGAACCAGAATGGAAAGTAGAAAAAGTTCCTAGTAGGAAGATAAAAGTTGTTACTTTTTAAAATCACTCGGCGGCCAAGACACGTGTTTATTTCTGCTCCCCGGAAGCAATGTTAGCTACTAGTTTTAATTCAGGAAGATCTATATCTTCAGGAAGATTCACATAAATATTTATTCAGTCTTTTTCCCAATCTTCATCTTTTCAGTGTAGGCAACAAATTGAGAGTCTGTTCCAAAAATTCTGTCCCACCATGTGAATGTTGAAGCATAGTTTCCAATGAAGTTCATGTGGTGAAAGTCATGATGCCGAGAGCCAGCATAGAAAGGGATGAGGTTTAAAGGGTTGAGAGGAATATCATAACCACTGCAATGAGAATAATAAAGATCATGAAGCAATAATTGGCACTTCCATTGATAGTCATGTGTTTGTTAATTAGGTCGCACAACATTCCACGTACCTAGCTCACTTTATTTCTGACATGTTTACAAAAGACACAAACAACAGAAAATAGTGCAAATTCTAGAACACACTAAGGAATTTTTTTAAATGTAAAAAAAAATCTATGGAAATTTTATGTTATCAGGAGATGAAAGAGAAACATTATACTAGTAATGAATAGATTTTTCATAAATTCTTTTTCTCTTCTGTTTTAGAGGAGGAGCTTTCTTACCATAGCCTTCAGGAGAAAACTATATGAAATCAGTATCAAATCTATGCTTGATGGACCTGGGAATCACTATTACAACATCTTTTACTTTAGTCAATGACAAGTTGGAATTAAATGAACCAGAATTAATGAAAATATGAGTGTGCTTTCTGTAGTTGGAGGGACACATGTGATTTAAAAGAATATCATTTAGAGTATCCTCCTTTTTCCTAATATATATCTGAAATCTGACATATTAGCCCACTTAAATATAATCTTATGACCATGAAGTCCAAATCACCCCAATCTCTTTCTCTCTCTTTGGAAGGTTGAGAGGGAGGAAGAGAGAAAAGAACAATGAAAGGAAAGAAAGAATGTAAGAGACATCACTCATAATTTATCTACAGAAGAATATTCTCTGTCTAGAATTAGAAGCATTGCTTTGCTAATTTTAGTGGTTTAAAAATAATTCTTAGAATTTAATATTCTGCTTTCATCGGTATAGTAATAAGTCCCAGGTCAAAATGCAATGAATGTATAATTTTAAAATAATAAAAAATTAGAATATTTAATTAGGCATATTAAAAGGCATTAAGTATAAATAACATACCACAAAATATCTTCCAATCAATAGAAAAAAGGTGAAATAATATTAAAAGTAGTGATTTTATCAGTGGTAGGCAGTGAGACTAGAAATATTCTTATTCAGTGAAGGCTAAATGACTCAATGTGGTGTTTTGTTTTGTTTTTCTTCAAATAAGAGGCTTAGATTCATTACAGAAGGATAAAGGAATTGCTAATTCTGAATTATGGTATTTAATCAAATCTTTTAAAAAAAAATACACAAGTAGTTTCAGTTGAACAGTGTTTCAGGAAGACCTAAGCAAGGTGTGAAACTCAAGAGTCATAAAAATGACTCATTTTACTACAGGAAAATTAAAAACTAGAAAAGAATCATCAGAAGTTAAAATTCAAATGACAGACGCAGAGAAATATTTAGAACATATATATAGCCAATAGAGCTTTCACAAACCAGTAAGTTTTAAGACATATAACAAAAAATAGGAAGAGAACATAAAATGTACCTCAAAGAAGAAAAAATACTATTGGTCAATAAGCACACAAACTGATGCACAGCCTCATGGGTCCCTGGAAAATACACACCAACACAGCACTCAAAGCTCTTTGCTCTCTTATCAACAAGCATGAAAAAGACTGCACTGCCCAGGCTTGGAAGGGTGTTGAAGGAGGAAAAGAATTCTAACATATTTACGCTGGGAATATAAACAGGTACCCTTTTAAAGGGTAGCTTTGAAATACCTACCAAAATTTCATTTCATTTAACCAAAAGAACTTATTCTCCCTGTAAAAATGACCACAACAGGGATATAAAAAAATCTAACCAACGAATATGTTTCTTTTTTTCTTAAAAAATAGCAATATTAACAAGATTAACGTCTATTAGCCTGCTTAAATATAATCTTATGACCATGAAAATAAAGACATTTTATGATACCTCATGCCAGAACAGAAACTAGAGCTCACCTGTGGACATCAATAGTTTCCATCAAACGAACAGCCACCCATGCCCAGAGAAGAATTACATGATCACATAAAAGCACGATGCCAATGAAAAACCCAGTTCCAAGAATCAGGGTTTCCAGGGGATGTGCATATTCAGCTTCCATTCCAAATGGAGCCTAAAATAAAGAACAATATTCCTTAATATATTGTGATGGTTAATGTTATACATTAGCTTGGCTATCGTGCCCAGTTGCTTGGACAATCAATCTGGATGTTACTGTGAAGGTATTTTTTAGATGTGGCTAACATTTAAATCAGGTTACCCTTCATCTAACCAGTTGAAGGCCTTAGATTACAGTGTTTCTCAACCTTTCTAATGCTGCGACCCTTTAATACAGCTCCTCATGTTGTGGTGACCCCCAACCATAAGATTATTTTCGTTGCTACCTCATAACTGTTACTGAATCGTAATGTAAATATCTGTGTTTTCCCATGGTCTTAGGCTCTACAGCAGCGGTTTTATGTATGGTGCCAGGTAGGTACTAGAAATATCAAGGGAACACTTTGTCAAGTATGATCTTCTAACCCCATGAGCACACCATGACATTTAGCCTCTAACAGAAAAAAAGTATTAAATATAATCCTAACATACCTGAAACTCATGATGAACTTTATGAATATACTTATATATTTTTTTGTGGTGTAAGAGCCTGTGTAGGAAATAGTGCCAGGTATCCTCAATCACTGCACAACCAAAGCATCTTGCCAAAAGCATATACCTGTAAGATGAAAACACTATGATGAGTATGAGAATGAAGTCTTTTACTTGGGATTATGGCTTGAGATATACATAAAAACCAAATACCTACTTTACAGTTTGACCTAATTGGATATATTGATAAATAAATTCTCAAGTGCTTAGATACAAGGTAGCTATATTATACCACCCAGAAGAAGAGTTGAACAGAACAGACTGGTCACTATATCAATTCTAACTCATTCAAAAATAAATAAATAAATAAAATAAAATAAACCACAGGTATAAAAATTAATTAAGAAACAAAATTCATACCCAGAGAATCAACGATAGGCTGCCTCCTGCATGCCCCCACTGGGGATCAAGCCCACAACCTGACCGGGAATTGAACCGTGACATCCAGGTTCATGTTTGACACTCAACCACTGAGCCACACCGGCCGGGCACCCTTTTTTATAAACCTCTCAAACTATTCCCAATGTTTTCATTTACTTCAGACTTAAAATGTAATGTAATTTTTTTTCTTAGTATGAGCACCTTCAAATAAAGAATTGCACTAAAATATTAGTAGAGAAAGACCTAAAAATTGTAATATGCTAAGTTTCTACTATGATTTACTTTTCTCCATTTTATTTACTTCCAAAGTTTAGAACAAACAAACATTAAACAAATAAAGAAAAAAGATAAAATTAAGGATATTTTAATTGGACAGCAAACTGTGATTGAGCAAACAAATCAAACCTTTACATTTTTTTTTTTTAAATATATTTTATTGATTTTGTACAGAGAGAAAGGGAGAGAGATAGAGAGTTAGAAACATTGATGAGAGAGAGTCATCGATCAGCTGCCTCTTGCACACCCCCTACTGGGGATATGCCCGCAACTAAGGTACATGCTCTTGACCGGAATCGAACCCGGGACCCTTCAGTCCCCAAGCCGACGCTCTATCCATTGAGCCAAACCGGTCTCGGCCAAACCTTTACATATTAAAGTATTATTTATATCTACTTACCATCTTGGCATTCTTTCCCACCCATAAGGAATGTTGAAATACTCTGTAAAATAATAAGTTCCACAAATCAAAGGAAGCTGGATACAAAAGTGATTAAAGAGAAGTACTTTAAAGCATTTCCATTGGTTTTCCCATGTTTCTGGTTTATCCTATGGAGAAAAAGCACAAATATTTAGTGTTGGTCTGTTATCAGTAGGTTAGCCTGGTATCTAGAAATAAATTCCTAATTTTCTCTCTAATGGTTAATGAGACCTTAATTCTGTTTGTGAATTCTATATTAGAGTTATTATGTTACAGTAACCAAAGCCCAGGAATCACAACATCCTCCCCTCTAAATTCTTGACAACTACCATCACCAATTTGTGAAAAAGTTGTGAATAAACAAACCCATGAATAATGAACATAAGATCTGAAACCTAAGAAGCATCAAAGGATGAATAACTCTTCCCTGCCCAAAGATCATTCACTTCTCATATCAGAAATGTCAGAGAAGAAATGTGTTATGCAAAGATTACAGTCGGGTCTTCCAACTATTGAAGCAATTGTATCAGCAACATTGAAAGCCATTGTTACACAGGCAAACTGATGCTTCCAGACATTTGGCAGTATTCATTCCCAGAAATTAGTGCATTTTTGTTTGTATACAATAACAGCATTATAAACTCTGAGCTGTGTCCAGTGGTTTCCAATGGAGAGTAACTTCCCACAGAAGTTCCAAGATTAAAGTAAAAAATGAGTGAGATCAATGTAGTAAAATGTTCATTTAAATCTCATCAGAATACTTACTTATCTAGCAACTCATATTTTAGAAAACTAAATTTATTCAATTTAACGGGCTACACTTACAAAGAAAAATTGTTTTAGATTTTATAAAAAGGCGATGCTAATAGTTACTACTTTGTTTTAAATATCCTTACTTAAAAATTCAGAAAGCTGCGGATGGAATTTTTTTCAATTGAACCACAATATCTCAAGTGTGGGAAATATTTTTAAGGAAAAGCCAAGAGGTTCACTACCTTGCCCAGAATAATATAGGAACTGAGACTAAATAAATTTAGGTCTCCAGTTCTGTTCTTAAAATTCTTTTAAGTTATCTTTCTTGACCAAAAAAAAAAAAAAAAAAAAAAAAGAAGAAGAAGAAGAAAAAGGAAAAGCATTAAATTGAGAAGCAATCTAGAAATCCAGAGAGCTGGGTGATCTTTAATCTCAGAGCCATCACTAACCAGCCATAAGCCAGTTTTATTAACAATAAAATGAGGAAATTAGATAAGATCATTTATAATTATCTATTTCTATTCTGAACATTATCACTCTACTCCTCCAAACTTTCAGTCTGTGATTGGGGACAAAATAAATGGGAGATTCCAGATTGGGCCTACAATGGCACTGTTTCCCATAGAAACCATGTTTAACAGGGGGGCAGCTGGGGGCAAACTGGCCAGCAGGGTGGGACAATTGGGGGTGAGCAGGCCAGCAGGCATGGCAGTGGGGGGAGGAAGGGAGGTGAGATGACTGGCAGGGTGGGGCAGTTGGGGGCAATCAGGCAGGTGAGTGGTTAGAAGTCAGTAGTCCTGGATTGTGAGAGGGATGTCCAACTGTTGGTTTAGGGTTGTACATGCCCGGGTGTGTGTGTGTGTGTGTGTGTGTGTGTGTGTGTGTGTTCCAGATTGGAGAGGGTGCAGGCTGGCCTGAGAGACACCTCTCCCCTGTACCACCTGTGCATGAATTTCGTGCATTGGGCCACTAGTGAGTGAGTGAGTGAGTGTGTGTGTGTGTGTGTGTGTATCCATGAGGAAAATTCCTAGAGAATTATTAAAATGTGTGACTTTGTAAAAAGAAATAGATCCTACAAGGTATACTTTATTATCTGTTTATAAAATTCTCCCATCATTAGCACACATGTGCATTAACTGTCACACTATTCTCTTTGAAAGCAGAAAGTCTCATCACCAATAGCAACTTCTTCCTTAACTTTAGGGTATCTGTCTTCAAAATTCATAAACCTGTAAGTAACTTGCAGTGATTTTTTTAACTTGTTTTAAAATCCTGGCATATTATGAGAACTTGTACTGATTTACCATTTCAATTTGTTTTAGTATCACAAAAGCTCAAAGCTTTTTGGTTGTAAAACTTAACGGAAGAAATATTGAGGACAGACTTGAGGCCACACTACCCAGCCTTTTAATCTGTTTCTAAGTAACTACCAGTAACCAACCACTGATGATTGCTTATCCTTTCTTTGGCCATATTTTACTTTCAAACCAATCATAAAACAATGACCAGAAAAGGTTTTCCTCTCTTTGAAAAGGTTAACAACTCTGACCAAAGATTCAACTATACCAGGATATAATGAATCAGCTATATGAGCACAGCAATGGGTGATACAGGGCAGCCTGAGTCAACACCCATAAGAACAAACTTAAGACGTCCAAACTGAATCCTCCCTTTCAAGGCCGGACATTTTATAAAAAGCATTTTGGAACTTCTGTGTCCTCAATTTAGGGTAATAGGATACCGTCTCTAGGGCCACGTTCTTTTTAGTCCCTCCCTCTTTTGCTTTTGTTGTTCTGTCCTTCGGCTTGGAGTCCACAGGCACCTGACCCCGTGTACTTATCCCCAGAGAAGATCAATACCAGTGTTGGCTTAAAGTGAAACTCACTGGGAGAGGCAATGAAACTGAGAACATGAGAGACAATGTGTGCACTGACTGCCAACCCACAGACTCAGTGAATGCAAATTTGTCTCTCTAGATAAACAAACACTCCCAGCATACCAGTATCTATTCTTTATCAAGGCTATGTGTGCCCTTAAAAATAATCTGGCATGCTTTTTTTTTTTTTTGAGAAACAGTGATTTCCCCCCCACACCCCTCCCCACTTATTTAGGTATAATTTTGCTTCCTGTAGGTGCTCTGACCTGAGATCAAACCCTCTTGGCATATTGGGACAATGCTCTAACCCAAATGAACTACCTAGCCAGGGCCTGGCATGACTTTTTAGAAAAGTAAAGAGTAAGCATTAGAAACTATCATGGGTTCACCCAGTACTGATAAATCCTTTCTCTAATAAACTGGTCCAGATTATTTCCTGGAAGCTATCAACTCATGAAGTACTTTTTAATGCTGATTATTTGTTGAAATAATAATAGTTTAGATTTACTGTGGTATTATTTTAAAATTAACTTTCCTATTTCTTTTTACCTTTCCATGTAATACAATAGAAAATTTTAAATTTCATATGTGGCTTAATTATATTTCTATTAACTTCAAAATAAAGTTACAATTACTTTAAAAATATTCAACACTAATGATACTATTCCATGGCAAGGCCATCATACTCACCTTCTGAATTTTGTACTTCTTCATGTAAGGTATAAATTGAAACAAAAACGCAGGTAAACAGAACAAGAAATAAAGGGCCTCGTGAACTATCAGGGACCCCCACGTTGCTATCTGGAACTTTGTGTAATTGTCCAACATATAGTTCCAAGCATTCTTAAATGGTTCTTGTAGAGGATTCTCGGGTAAAAGTGAATCTACATACTCCACAGCCAAGGATGCTGAACTAAAGATGCCGACACTTTCATTTGTTGCCATTTTTCAAATCTCTGCACACGGCCTTTTATTTCTGTAAATATAAATAAGTACCTAAGTAAATAAGCAAATTAAACAATTCTAAAAAAGTAGTTTTCAAAATACATCTTCAAATTATTTTAAAAATAACAATCACTAGCACTAATTTCTCAGGTCCTAAGCATGTATTTAAAAAAAGTTTACTGGATGCCATCACCACCTCCGTTTGTAGATACTGCTTTAAAAGCCACATGTTAACTTTCCAGAGTAGGATCAAAGAGAACAACAGTGGATAACAAATTTCAAGTTACCCTTAAAGAGGCTTGTCAGTATGGTCCCCATGGAAAAACTTGCATTTCAATGGGGAGTTTAAAAGTGTCACTTAACACCAAAAGAACCTATAAAGAAAAAGCATGCCAAATATGACTACCCAAAAATTATTTATTTTTGATTGAGGAAAAAAAATAACCTATAATAATAAAAGTGTAATATTCTAATTAGACCAGAGGACCTGGATGAAGCCAGGGCTGGGAGGGAAGCCTGGGTCCCAGCAGCCTGGGGAAGGACTACTCTTGCACGATTTCATGCATCAGGCCTCTAATTATAAATAAAGTCAAAGATCAAATGACATATTCGAAAAATGTCTCTACCACCTATGACAAAGGGCTATAAGGAAGTCAAAGGCCATTGACACTGGTTCAGAGAAGAGCAAATGCAAATGCTCACTAAACAAATAAGCAGTTCAATTGGACTCATAAGGAAATGTACCCTAAAACAAAAATCTTTACGTTAAATAGGGCTCAGTACCCAGTACTGGTGAGGATAATAATTCAAAGAAACAGGCATCATTACACATTGGTGATAGAGAAAAAAAAAAAAAAAAATCACAGTATCTATCACAATTCAAAATGAAAATACCCTTTGACCCAGCAAGCTTCTCACTCAAATGTATAAAGACTGGTACACTAAGGCTGAAGGAAGTGCTGACTGTAATAGCAAAAACAAAGAGAAAAGTAACAAAATAAAAACAAGTCCACCAATAAGAAATAATTTATTAAGGACTTAATAAATTCTAAGTCCTTCCATAGAGCATTATAAAGCCACTTAAAAGAAAGAACTTTATGTTCTACATAGAAAGATATCTAAGATTCAGTGTTAAGCCTTGGCCAAAGTGGCTCAGTTGGTTAAGCATTGTCCCATACAGCAAAAGGCCACTGGTACAATGCGGTACCATCTCACACCTGTCAGAATGACAAACATCAACAAATCAACAAACAACAAGTGTTGGCGAGATTGCGGAAAAAAAGGAACTCTCGTGCACTACTGGTGGGAATGCAGACTGGTGCAACCACTGTGGAGAACAGTATGGAGTTTCCTCAAAAAACTGAAAATGGAACTTCCATTTGACCCAGTAATCCCACTCTTAGGATTGTATCCCAAGAAACTAGAAACACCAATCAGAAAGGATATATGCACCCCTATGTTTATAGCAGCACAATCTACAATAGCTAGAATTTGGAAACAGCCTAGGTGCCCATCAGCAGATGATTGGATCCAAAAACCATGGTACATCTACACAATGGAATACTATGCTGCCATAAAAAAGAAGAAATTCTCATCATTAGCAGCAACCTGGATAGAATTGGAGAAGATCATGCTGAGTGAAACAAGCCAGTCAATGATAGAGAAACACCACATGACCTCACTCATTTACGGATAATAAAGAACATTATAAACTGATGAACCAAAAGATAGATATAGAGACAGTAAAGCAACAAGCAGACTGTAAAATTACAGCGGGGAGGGGAGGAAGATCTGGGGGAGATAATAGATCAACCGAAGAACTTGTATACATGTATTTAAGTACAACCAATGGACACAAAACTCTGGGGAGAGATGGGATGTATGGGAGGGGGAGAAATGGTAAGATATGTACACAGATAATAATTTAATTGGAAAAAAAAAAAAGGCCACTGGTTAGATTCCCCGTCAGGGCACATGCCAAGTTGCAGGCTCCATCCCTGGTATGGGTGTGCATGTGGGAGGCAGCCAATCAATGTTTCTCTCTCCCTAAAATCAATAAAAACTATTAAAAAAAAAAAAAAAAAAGAATAAGTGAAATAGCAAGTTGCACAATATGTATAGCAGGAGCCCCACTTATGTTTTTGTAAAAAAAATATGTATTTTATCTATGTACTTTCATGTGTATATATATACATACATACACAAATATAGAAAATGAATGGAAGGATGCCAGGGAGCAATTTAGAGAAGTGATCTTTAGGAAAAGGGATTAATAGGTATTAGGTGTGTATGTGCAAGCCCTATTATGCACATACAATGAGGGGTTGCTATGAAGGAGAAGAAAGAAATTTTATTTATTTTATACCTTCTTACAGTTTTTTTTTTTTTTCAGGAGCATATTTACTTACAAAATAAATAAGCTTAATAAGTTACCAAATAAAAAAATAGGTAAACTTATGAAGAATATCACTCTTTAAAAAATGCTCACTGCTATTCCTGATTTATGAGTAATGATGGACAGACCAATAAATATTTGAAACCTCTGAAGCATTCTTATTAGTGTTTAAAATGCTCCCTCATCCCAACTTACCTCTTATCCTACTCTTGATACAGGAAGCTTAGCCAACTTCTTCAGGCCTGACTTCACTTTGCATCCTTATTCTTTTGTCTGACTAATTCTCAAATGACTTATACCATGGAGACTATTGTGTTACACCCTGTGCATGCCAAGCTCAAAATTTCTCTCCTACTGACTAGGCTTGTGTTAGGTGACCTCATCAAGGACTCACTCATCGCTCATTTACCTTTCTCATCTTTTGTCTTTCCCTCTTCATGGAGTCTATCCCCCTTCAAGTTTAAAAACATATTCAAGTCTTCTTGAGGAAAGCTTTTCTAACCTCTATTACCTTCCCCCCAAGCCAATGTCCCATTTCTTTTTCTATGAACTAACCTATCAACTTCTTCCTTAAAGAATTCAATTAGCCGCTGACTGCTTAACTCTTACTCACACAACTTGCTCAACTATTATACTTGTAATCTAGCTCCTAAATCATGTCAAGATCTCTTCAAAGATATTCTATATTGCAAAATAAAAGTAATTCCAATCCTGTTTTCATACAGTCACTAGCTGTGTGACTTTGAGCAAGTTATGTAATTTCTCTGAGCCTGTTTTATCATCTGCAAAATATAAAGAACAATAGTAACTAGATAGAGGGGATCTTTCGTCAAATCACCACAATGTACACTTAAAATATCTTATAATTTTATCTGTCAATTACACCTCAAGAAAGCTGAAAAGGGGGAAAAGAATAACAACATTTCTTCCAATGAGTTCAAGAAAGAAAGCATGTGAAGCACTTAGCACAGGACCTGACACACAGTAATGCTAAGAAGCTACCTGTTATTGAGCATGTTCTATGTGCCAGGAACCGTATTCTAAGTGTGCTACATGTCCTCTACATATTAAAGACTTTAATCCTTACCACATATTCATAAACTAGGTACTTTTATTATTCCCATTTTCTAAATGAAAAACTCAAGTTCAGAAATGTCATGCAACTTTCCCAAGTTACAAAAATGCTAAGTGGAGAGAAGCTTATGCTCTCAGCCATTAAGCTATACTTTAATCACACACAATAATGCACACAATAAATATTATAGTAAGAGGAGAATAATTCCTACAGTTTACCCAAGTCTCCTGGGAGAGTATTTTATACAGGCTGTCTTCCTTTTCCCACTTCCCATTTACTCTCCAGCAACTACAGTCAGCTTTCTAGTCTCATCACCACACTGAACTTACTCTTACTAAAATCACTAAGGACCTTCTAGCCACCACATCCAGCATACATTTCTTCGAGTTAGTCTTATTTAACCACCTGAAGATTTGGTACTTCTCTCCTTCCTTGGTTCTTGATTCCCATGTATTCACTCCGGCTGAATTTGTGCTACCAGCTGCAGCCACTGTGCTCTCACCTGACTTCACAAACAGAAAACCTAGTAAGGAATTCACCAGACTATCATAAAAGTATGTGATAAGAACAATAAAGGGTTAGAAACACAGAGTGCTATGAGAACATGGTGGACCAGAAAGAATTTCCAGAGAAAAACGATACTATCTAAACTGGACCTGGAGCACAAAGGGAGGAAACCAGATTAAAAGAGAGTAAAGTTGGGTGAAGTGTGTGTGTGTGTGGGGGGGGGGGGGGGAGGGGGGGGTAGAGGGGAGGAAAGGAAAGGGAAGGGGGGAGAAAGAGGAGAAGGAATAAGAGGATGTTCAGATTAGAGGGAACTCCCAAGGACTAAACCAGGGCTGAGAAAGAATACAGCACTTTCTGACTTAGTATGTTTGTGGTTTAGCTTTTAAGAAAGGAAGACTCGAGCATCGAGGCTGGAAAGTTTCCAATGATGCTTTCCTTACTCCTTTTTCTAGTATTCTTAACTATTTCCTGTTTTTAAAATCTCCTAATATCCAAAACTCTCTATTTCCAGCCATCTCCCCTAAACTCCAGGTTCTATTCATCCAGGCCAGCGCCCAAGGAGGCGGTTCAGAGGCACATAAAACTCAACATAGCCAAAAGTTCAGCAGATACTCCCTACTTCCCTTAACACCTAGGAGTGTTAATTCTGTCATCTCTGACAGAGTGCTGTGAGTCTTTCCTATCCCTGCGAACCCGGAAAAAGTCTGCAAACTCTCTCAGTCCACACAGGGACGCCTGGTTTAACTCCCATCCCGGAGTGACTCTCCACACACAAGAGCGGAAAACGGGCAAACTGCTGTCAACGGAACAAAAGCAAAATGCAGAAAGGAAACAAAGGGGAAGGGAAATCGTGAACTTCCTTTTGCTTTTTCTCCTCTTTGGACAACCGGATGGACTGGAAACCTCCTCTGTGCAGACTAACTAGGTCCTCAGGACAAAATAATAATAATAAATTTAGTTCCTTGTGGATTCTTTGAGAAACCTCGAAGTCTCTCAGCTTCTTAACCCAGATTGCACCTGGTCCCTCCCTCCCTTGGCCTTGCCATGCCTCCGGCTTGCCCTTTTAAACCCGACTTCTAGGGCACATGCCAGGATCTATCGAAACAGGAGAGTCAACCCTCTCACAACACTTAAAAGTTCCAAAAAAGTGCCTCCCCTAAGGAGTCAGAGACCAAGGCCTTCAGCTATGAAGACAAACCAAACACGGCCCCGCCGGGCCTGCCCGCTCTTCGGGTCTCCTTCTCTCCTACCTGCACCTAAAAATCCCACGACATCTGCCTTCTCCTGGCTCCTGCTGCTTAACCTTCCTCTCTGCCCAGGGGCCCCGCAGCCCCTCACCCGCCACGGCCTCCTCGCCCACCCCCGCCGCTCCATCTGCACCTCCTCCGGGGCGCCTTCCCGGCCCGGCGCCCCCGGCGCCCGCACCCACAGAGCGAGCGGGTCGGACCTCCCCGGCACCGCTTCCAGTTCTGTAAAACCCCCATCCTGTGCTGTATCCACCGCCTACTGCACCCAGGCTCCGGGCCACCGTAAACCCTTAAGCCTCAGCGCAGATCCATCCCCGCGTTTCCTCCGGCGCCTCGCCGCCCTCCCCGTGGGGAAGGGTGGGCCCCCCACCCGGCCCCGAGCGCGCATCCACATGCCCGACCTCGCTCCCCTCAACCCCGCAGCGTTCAGGGCGCCGGACCCCCGACAGTCCCCGTTCCTCACCTCCGAGCCTCTCTCCTCCGGCCCCCTCACCGGGATGCTCGCTCGCACGGAGACGGCCGCTCGCCGCCGTATTCAAGCAGGTGCTGGGGCCCAGGCCGGAACCCGCCTCCCCGGATGAGGGAGTGGGAAGCGGCTGTGTTCGTTGTGATTGGCCGGCGAGGGCTCCCGTCCCGCCTCCTCGGTGCTGTGATTGGCCTGTAGTGCTGCCGGCATCGTGCGATTCGAGCTAGCGAATCACTGGCGGCCCCAGCCATTGGCTCCGCGGATGGAGTGAGGATAGTGAGACTCACACGCCCAGCCAGTGATTGGCGCCGCAGCGCGCCTGGAGGTGAGGTAGAGGGGAGGAGGGTGTGCTGTTACCGCTACGTGCGAGCCGGGAGGAGGCGTCACCATAGCAACTTGGGATTGCTCCAGCTCTTGCGGGCACTGTCCTCAGGGAGGCAGGATTATTGGCATTATCACTCTGTAGGATTATGCTATCCTTTTACCTAGTAAAAGAAGCCTCATAACTCACCATCAATTTAGATCATAAATACCTGGGTGCTCATGCTATCTATTAGTTTTATAAGGAGAAAATAAACCTGTTTTAAAAGCTGTGAGTGTGTGTGTGTCCTCAATTACATTAAATGGCCTATTGAATTTGTGTTTTGTTTTTAAATCCTCACCACAGAGCATTTTTTTCCATTGATTTTCAAATACAGTGAAGGGGGAGGAGGGAAACACACACACCCATGGATTGGTTGCCTGCCGAAGCATCCCAACCAGGGCTGGGGATCGAACTCACAACCAAGGTATGAGCCCTTGAATTCAATCACAACCCTTTGGTCCGCAGGCCAACACTCTTAACCACTGGGCAAGCTGACCAGGCCAAGTGCTGCTGAAATTTGTATGTGAAAAATGAAAATTTAAGTCTTGGCATACTTGATATTAGAGTGCTAATTTCTGGAGCAATTGATCAACAGGTTACTTCTTGTGGTCTCAGGTCATTAGCAGAGGAGAGGGTTTTCGCATTCTCATCTTTTGTACCAGGATCTAGATCAGACTGTGTAGGTGTGGTTCGAGATGAGGGGAGCTTTGGAAACAGTTGTATTAAATCCTTTTAGGGGTTAGAATCTGTTCTGTGAAGTACTCATCCTTTCCTCCTCCAAACATCTCTACAGTGGCCAGACAGTGTGCTTATGTTGCCCCCAAATTCAACATAGGAATTTGAGGGAGACATAATCCCCAAAGTAATGGTATGAGGCATTGGGGCCTTTTGGAGGTGATTAGGTCGATAGGGACTAAGAGTCCTCATGATGGGATTAGTGCTCTTATGAAATTGACCACAGAGAGATCCCTTAGCGGGGGAAGACACAGCAAAAAGACAGTCTATGAAACCAGGAAGTGGGTTCTCACTAGACACTGAATCTGCTGGTGCCTTGATCTTGAAATTCCCCACTTCCAGAATTGTGAGATAAGCAATTTTTGTTGTTATATAAAATGAATAAAAAAATAAATATGGTTCTATGTTTAAATGTGAATACTCTATATTAAACAGACATTATATCAGTTATAAATCTTTCCTCCCAACTGTTTTGGCAACAAGCTCATGCTAACCATTTAAATTCCTCTCCTGAGAAACAGCCACCATATCCCCTCACCTCTTGTCATCCCTTTCTTCTCTGCCCCTCTTGTGTCCAGCACCTCATCTGTCCACCCCGCTCCCCAACTCCCGTTTCCTTAATTCCTTTTATTTTATATCCAAATTAGTTTCTTTAGAGTATATATTTTTTCTTTGTTTTTTTTTTTGGTGCAACACTATTTGTGTTATCTTTACCTTGTAAAGATATCTTTACCCATTTGAGGGACAGAGGAAATATAAAAACTTAAAATATCACCAGTCCTTGGGAGACTTTTTGATAGTTGAGGAAACTTTTTTCTTGAACAATTTTCAGTGACTTCAGTTATTGATTTAACAGACTTGCCTAAGAAGTTACTTTGGCAACAAATAAAAAGTATTGCTTTGTGAAGTTAGAAAATGCAAATTTTACAAAAGAACAGAGAAATTGAGCAGGCAACTTTCTTAAAATCTAACTAAATAGGACAATGTAAAAAAAGGACAATGTAAAACAAATAATATACAAACTTTTATTCAAAGGTAATTCCAGAAAGACATGTTTTGGTCATTTTTAAAGTGAGATTAATTGAAGACCTCAGAGAAATCTCATCTGATCAGCACACATAGCTACTCACAGAAAATTCTTTCTTCTGTTAATAGCAGCTAAATTTATACACACGGGAAAAATTCTTAAGACCATGCAAATTCAATTGAATTCCATACATTCATTATATTCATCAAAAACCTGCAGTAATGATCATGCCAAAGTGTTACTTTAAGAAAAAAATTAAAAATACACACTGAAAACATGACCAAGATTAAACCAAAGGAAGGAAATAATAAATAAGCATAATTTACATTTATTTTTAAAAAGTTTGGCATCACACATATTCAAGTGTGTTACACCATGTTCATTCCTCAGAAGTGGCATTTTAAAGTGTTAAGCATTGTTAAATATCAAAAAATACAACTCTGTTTTACAATGTAGTACTGGCATAATTCAAAGTACTGTGCCAATTATAAATAGTATAATCAAGTTTCAAACATCTTTTCAAACATATTTAAAGGAAAGCATATACACACACAGTTATATGCACACCATTTATTATACTCATGTAATCAAAGAATTTTATAAAAGCAAACAGTTTTATCCCTCAACTAGTTTGTATACTTACATAGAATTTAATACCAGTCCAAAGATTTTCAGTTCCTGTGTATACACATTTTCAGGAGAAAGAATAAAGAAAAAATTTTACAACACATATTCTTTTGTCCTTCACAAAATTATCCATAGTCGTTCATGGTTGATAATTAGTCTTTATGAAAGCAACTGTTGTCTAAAGACTGAAGAGTAAGTATTGTAGTCCAGGTTTTTTATTAAAATTCAGTCAGCTGCTGCTCAATGCAGAAAAAGCCTACACGGTGCTTCTACCAAAAATAATCTTCGGAATCTGAGGCCTCTGAAGGCAGCAGATCTTATTTTCTGCGGAGACTTAAAGTGCAGCTACAAGTGGAGAAGTGCTGGATTCTCAAGTCACTTCAGAAATACTTGTTCAAGTCTGTTTCTCATGTATAAATATGCCAAAAATGTCCTTTGGGCTCATAACGGTTTATCAATAACTGTGACTCCTAAGCAAAGAAGTGAATAAAACAGAAGTTACAGGCAGCATTCTGGATATCTGAGAAAATAATGAATTCTTTATTTTATTACTCAAGCAACGGGGTCTGATCAAATCATGCTGTATCAAAAGTACTATCATTTTAATTTAAATTGCAGTGAAATCTGTTTAGTTATAGACCAAAACGTCAGACTATTTAATACAGATTATTCTTTTGCTCTTTGCAGTTACAAAGAAGGAAAAATAATTTTACTTAGGAAATACTAAAATCCACCTAACACCCAAAGGGCACAAAGAAGTTTTCAGGGATGATTAATACTTATTTTCATTATTTTGACTATGGTATTGTTTTCATGGGTATATACATATGTCAAAACTAATAAAACTGTATGCTTAAATATATGCTATTTTTCCTATGTCAATTATATATCAATGAAACTTAAAATTTGTTTCCCTAATTTTCAGCCATGTTATTCTGGAATCCTATTGTATATAGTTCTTTTAGATGTTGCTTTGGATAATACATAAACAATAATGATGGTTAATTAGTATAAACTTCTTTTTTATCCACAACTGGATCAATATTAGCATGTTATTAAAACATGCTAATATTTAAAGTGATATAAATTCCTATAATCAGAGTAATTGATATATAACATACAGTTTTGAAGGCTCATCATTATATTTAATAAAGAGAATTACCATTTCTCTTACTAAGAGCATGGACCAAAATAATATTTTATAATTCAACCAGTGCTATTCTAAAATAAGAAAAATTATTATAGCCTCACTATAATACTATCACACAAGCCCCGCCAGGGGGATGTGGTAGGGGGCAAATTTCTTGTGTATCTGAGTAATGAAAGCCTCGCTACACAGTGAATTCCACTCCACTGCATACAGATATTAGCCATGCTAAGTTTTGGTATATGATCCTGCAATGGAAAGATTTATAATTTCAAATACAAAGGATTGTAAAATGATGGGGGAAAAAATACCACTGCTCTATTTCAGAAAATACACACCCAATATTGTTTTAAGAACAAGAAATAAAATATACCTTGAGAAAAGACTTCTTAAAACATTAAAAATTTTTCATATAAAAATCATAATGGTATAATTTTCTAAGTTGTAATAGAAGACGATAAGAAAAGCAGACAATTATTACCTGCATAACTTCTCCCTGTGCTCATACAAGATGACACAACTGTCCATTTATCAGTTGTTGGGTTATAATATTCTACGGATGCCAAGTTACAGGAGCCATCATCCCCTCCAACTACATATAACAGACCATTAACAGCACAAACGCCTTTAAAAAAAATTAGAGAAAAAAAGCAATTATTTAAAAACTTAGATGAATATGAATATCCCTGTACATTTGGTGAGGTGATTCAGAGATACTTTCTTAAAGGAGGCAAGAAAAGATGGCGAAGAGGGAAGGAACTGTTTTTATATGGGAGAATCTAATGCAATTATTACTTTATTTTTAATTTTTTTAAATTCAGATTTGATGTTTCTTTTGTCTCTTTTTTATGTTTTTGTGTTTGTTTGTTTTTTAATTTTTATTGATTTCAGATAGGAAGGGAAAGAGAGAGATAGAAATATCAATGATGAGAATCATTGGGTGGCTGCCTCCTGCACGCCTCCTACAGGGGATTAAGCCCACAACCCAGGCACGTGCCCTTGACCAGGTCAAACCTGGGACCCTTCAGTCCGTAGGCCAATGATCTATCTAGTGTGCCAAACTGGCTAGGTCTAGCTGCTTTATTTTTACATTACTTTATTTATCTTCACAATAATCTTACTTATAGGTTAGAAACAATGTTAACCCACATTTTATAATTAAAAAGAAAAAAAAAATAAGGTCAAATAAGTTTAGTAACTCAAAGTCAACTTGTTAGGGAAACCTAAGGAAAAACTATAAAGGGTATTTCAAAAAAGATGTATACACACTTTAATAGCTGATGGCTCAATTGATATTTTTTTCTTTTCATCTAGACTAAGCTTTGAACAAAGGAAATTCATCCTAAAATGCTACAGGAAGTCTGAAAATGCAGTTGAAGTACTAACACTGCCTTTATAATTATTCAAAGTGTGTAGACATTTTTGGAGGACAAAGGGTGTATACACACTTTAATATCTGATAACTCAATTTTCACTCCTTTTCATGTTTAACTGATTTGAAATAATGGGAGAGGCCAGACTAAGCTTTGAACAAATAAAATTTATCCACTAGACTTTTTTATGGGGATATATAGAAGATAAAGTTTATGGTACAAAACCAGCAACAGTTGATAAATTTGAGGGCATACATATACCGAACAAAACAATCCTTGATGTTTGCTACTCCATTGCTTCGTATTATCAGCGCCTGGACCAGAATGGTCATCAGTTTGAAAATAGGAATTGACAAAAATATTATTCATATCTGTGGATTCTTTCAAATTTTGAAAATGAACTGTATGTTAATAAATACTGACTTTGTAACCATTCAAAGTGTTCATACATTTTTTTTTTTTTGCTATCCTATGTTTTAGTAGAAGATAAAAATGATTCTAAATTTTAATTATTATACTCACTGGTTAACTATTTTATCTCCTTCAAAAAGGGAGAGCAATATTATTTATCTCATTATTATTAGATAACTCATGTTATTTTTTTGCAAGAATTCAAAACATTTAAAAAAGTATAAAGAAAAAAAGATCACCTCTAATCCTATACTGCTTAGAATTATGACCATGAAATTGTGATCTCTACTCTTACCAACTGTTTTCTATGCATAAATACTCACTTGTGTTAAACACTTGTGTTAAATCCCAAAGTAGCTGATAATACACATGCTACTTTATTATTCACCTATTTCCTCCAAATAATATACCTTAGACATCTGCCCAAGTTAATAAATATAGATCTCCATAATTTTAAGTGATTGCTTAGTACTCCATGTATGATAATACCATAATTTTATTGTCTTTGATGAACATCAAAAATATTTACTAATAGATATTAAGTTATTCCTAGTTTTCTTTTTTGCTCTTATCAATGATGTTGCAATGAATAAAGATCTCTCTTGCCTACTTTTTTTCATCCTTGTACAACTATTTTATTAATATAAATTTTTACAAAACAACTGCTGAGTTAAAAGATAAAGACATTTATTTCCATCCTATCTAATAAAAAAGTAATATTCAAATTGACCATGCCTCTGCTGTACCCACAAGCCACACCCACTAGCCAATCAGGATCTACTATGCAAATTAACCTAACCAAAATGGCTGAGGACTGGGAGCAAACAGAAAGCTACTGAGAGCTAACAGGAAGATTGGGTTTCCCTGGCAATGGAGAAAGCAAGCTTTCCACAGCCCTGGCCTGCCCTAGCCTCTGTTCAAGGTTACAAAATTTCAATTATAGAAGATAAATAAATCCCAGATACCAGTGCCTCCTCTTGGATTCCTGGGTAGCTGGCCTGCAAACCACCACAGGTCCCTCGCCCAGGCCACCCCATGCCCCAAGGGATCCCCCACCCTGATCCAGGACACTCTTCAGGGCAAACCAGCTGGCCCCCACCTGTGCACCAGGCTCCTATTCTAAGAATAATTTGCAAACTGACCATTACTCCAACATATAAGATGGCTGCACCCATGTGGACACAAGATGGACAGCATGGGAGGGACCAAGTCTGTAAGGGAGGACAGTTGGGGGTGATCAAGCCTGCAGGGGAGGGCAGTTAGGGGTGACCAGGCCGGCAAGGGAGGGAAGTTGGGGGCAATTGGGCTGACAGGGGAGCAGTTGGGCATCAATCAGGTTGGCAGGGAAGTGGTTAGAGGGTGACCATCCTGGCAGGCAGAAGCGGTTGGGGGCAATCAGGAAGGCAGGCAGGCGAGCAGTTAGGAGCCAGCAGTCCTGGATTGTGAGAGCGATGTCCGACTGCCCGTTTAGGCCAGATCCTATTGATCAAGCATGAGGTTTGGGTTTCCCTGGCAATCCTACTGATTGAGCAGGAGGCTTTGGTGTCCCCAGCAATCCTATTGATTGAACCTGAACGGGCTGTTGGACACCCCTCAAGGGGTCCCAGATTGGAGAGGGTGCAAGCTGGGCTGAGGGACACACTCCCTCACCCCCTGTGCACGAATTTTATTTAATAATTATAAACAAGATTCAAAGCCATTATGAACTAGTACTAAAGGGCATCAAAAAATCCAGAAGAATGCTCACACACTGGTCTTTGTAGTTCCATAAATAGTTTTACTGGTGTAATTAATAGATGTTTATAGATTTTTATATTAACAAAATAATGAGCCAACTCTACTTATATATACAGCATTTAGAAGTGCAAATGGAGTGAATGTTCTGTACTAACACTAAATTGTGTTACTAAACTAGTCTATTGACAGGAAGTAAATTCATTCCATTTTAAACTAGTTCAAATATTTGAAAAGCAAGAGCAGGGCAATGATTGCTCTACATAGTATGTCCTTATTCTTCTGGCTAGCAGAAATGAGCTTATTTTGATTTGAAAATACAACATGAGTGGACGAAAATAATAATATTATTTCAATCTTCAGGAAAATAGTAATGAAATTCTAATTGCAATATATGTACTAATCTAGGGAAGGCATGTGCACATATTACTTTGATTTTTCTAACTTAATACCTATATATTGGGATTAAGCACTCATTCTACCTATGGCCCAGATCTGTGGGAGAGGTTTCTAGGACATTACCAAATACAAATGCTCGAATGAGGTGCAAGTTCACTGTTGTAGACAGTTCTTGCAGTCCCATTTTTTAGTTTCCCACACTAATCACATTTAAATTGAGAAATTAAGAGCATTTTGGAGGGTGTGGAGCATGCATCTTGCAACATCATCCAATGGTATACAGTGAGTTTGAGATTCATTAGGAACATATTTTGGATTATGGGAAATGGTATAAAGATAATGGCATTTTAAAGAAGAAGAGCATTTCCTAAAAGACTGGCTTTCCTGGATCTATTTCTATTTCTCTTTCATGGATTTTCTTTACAAGGAGTTAGTTTCCTAATCTGGACGACCTCAGTTTTCTTAAAATTATTTGTTGTTTTAGCTTTTCTACTTCATAGAAATCCTGAACTGTATTAGATTAGGGTTAGCTTCTTTGGGCTTCCCTCCAGATTCAGATAAATACTAGCTTTTTAATCTGGTATAAATATTTACTCAACTGGACTAAATTTCCTAAGAACTGGGTTTTGTAGTACGTGATACATGGTAGGCACTCAAAAATGTTTGTGGTGAGAATGAGTGAATCAATGTCAAGTAAAGAGGGCTCTTCTTCTAATTTAGTCTCTACATTCATCACCAAAAATAGCCACTAGGACAAACTGTAAGTTAACTGGCGTGCCACAACAACCTGCTATGTTGCAGATCCTATACGAAGCATTCCGTATGGATTATTACATAAAATTCTGCCTTTAAAGACCTAGTCCATTAGAAAACCCAGATCAATAAGAGAACAATGGAAACACATAGGGATACTATCCATCTGTAAATGCAATTCATATATATTTTACAAATGTGAACTAGACAGATACCTGCATTTCTCCTGCACATGTTCATATCTGCAACCTGTCTCCATGTATTGGTGGTGGGATCATACACTTCCACACTTTTTCGTACTAAAGGGCCATCATGACCCCCTACAGCATATAATAAATTGTTTAACACACCAACACCTATAAAACACAAAGAACCAAACTATAGAATAAAAAGAGCAATAAATTTATAGCATATTAGGGTTTATTCAAATGACTTATAACTAAAATTTTTGAAATTATTATTCATAGTAAAAGATATTTTTTAAAGGGGATATTAAAAGTATACAACTTAAAAAAGGGAAATAAAAATAGACAAATGAGTATCACAATAAGAACTATTATTCTAAAAGGAGAGGCCATTAATCATTTTGAAAACAACTTTCATGATAAAAGCAAACCAGTACTGTTGAGGAGAGATTGTTCCCTGAGGTGACTGATGCTGGATCCTCTAGTCAGAAGATTACTTCTCATAAATTCCTTCAGGGACTGCTAACCTCTCTCCCCTACACCCCAAATGTGCTGCCTCTTGGAACGTGTCTGTACCCCAGCCCAGGCAAACATGTAAAGCATTTTCTCCTTATCAGGAGTAGGTCATGCCCAGTAACAACATCCATCCCGCCCTGTCGTATATAACCCCTTAGTGCCTGCCATGTGGCAGGGAGGGTATCCATGTCCTCTTGATGCAGCCCAAGACACACCTTGTATGTAACCCTCCTTAATGAACATATAATGCTGGATTACCAACCTCTTTCTTTGGTCTCTCAACCCTGGGGAATTTTATAAGACAAGTATTAAAGCACAAAATTTGTAAGAAATGGATATGAAGAGACTTGATAAAGAAGCAAGTTCTTCACGAGCACTAAAAACAAAAAACTAAAAGAAATGCCAAACAATGTAAATAATTAACTGAAACGGAGAAGTAGCCTTTAATGTAGCACTTGGAAATTTTTCAAAGTAAAATGTAAGTGCAGCTACCTACCACTACCTGTGTAATTCAAGGGACACTTTAACAGTGTTATTAGAAGCAGTGTATATTTTCTTAAAACATAAAAATATGTCAGTGAATCATTTCACTTAATTCTTTTCCATCATTTTCTACTTCAACTGCTAAATTAGGTTCCTATTCACCTGCTCCGCTCCGCCTGGTACTCATTTCTGCTATATAGGCCCACTCGTTGGTCGTAGCATTATAGCATTCGACGGTGCTGAGACACTGACGGGAAGCTCCATCATAACCCCCTACGGCATACAGCAAACCTAAACATGGGATCACAAAGAGAGCCATAGTCATACAGAGCCCTTTTGCAAGTCAGAAAGTAATATATTTTCCTTCATGGTAGCAGAGTTTCCCTTTAAAGTGTTACTGATTTGCCTAATGGTGATATGTAGAGTTACCAAGTGAGATTATGAAGATCTGCAGAGTATATATTATTATAGTAATGTAACATTTTCATCAATAATCTGACAGAACAGAAAGTACACTAATTATGTCTTTGGGTAACACCACAAAGTGAACAACACCCTGGCAAAAAATTAAATATCAAAGTTATCTTAGTAACTTAAAAAAAAAAAAAAAGTTAAACCAAGAGTTAGTAACAGTGTAAAATAAAATATTATTTGGCAACAAAAGGAAATGAGGTATGAGTAAATGCTACAGCACAACTGAACCCTGAAAATTGTGCTAAGTCAGAGAAGCCAGTCACAAAGGACCAAACCCTGTGAAATGTTCAGAAATGGGAAATTTACATAGGGACAGAAAGTAGAGCAGTGACTGCTGACAGCTAGAGAGGATGGAGGTGACAGTTAAGGGGAGCAGGGATGCTTTTGGGGGTAATAAAAATGTTGTAAAATTAATTGTGATGGATACACACTGAATTACACACTTTAAATGGATGAATTGTATAATGTAATTTATCTTTTCAATAAAGCTGCTAAAGAAAAATAAGGTAGTGCAAAGAATTATATCCATAGTGGGGAGGGCATGGCAACTTACAAATTTACCCAAGTGGGGGGAGGAGGGGACGCGGAAAACACACCAAAAACACTTACAGCCTTTCTTAAACTCCGCTGGGAGACAGAGTATGATATAAATAATTGTGGCAATCCACCCTTTAAACGTTGAACAGCTTTCTCTAGATATAGAATTTTGCATATGTGCCATCTGATTTGTTCTCCCAAATAATTGCATTAATATCAGTTAACAGTTTTATATAGGTTGCATATGCAAAGAGACAGAGAAGGGAGGAAAGAAGAGGGAGACTCTGACAGAGGGAGTGAGGGTGTAAGAGAGGCTAGAGTGGGCATAGGAGGGCCTTATATAAGTTATATAGTCAAGCGAACATTTTTTTAAAGGATATTTAAAATTTTACAATACTACGTTCCCTTTTAGATGACCACTTGCTTGCCCATTAGAGACAGGTGTTTAGATTATTGGAAGAACCTAACCGTTCCTCACAATCAAGAAGCCACACGTACCTGAAAACGCTCCCCAGCGGAAGTGTCTGCACCTACCTCCAACAACACCCACGCCGACACTGCTCCTCCGTGTGTTCATGGGAGCCACGTGAAACCACTCGTTAGACTTTATGTTATACGCTTCCACCGATGCTAAACCTGTAAGGAAACACAGTGCTCTTCCTTTCCTCCTCTAGAAAAAATGTAAGGTGGTTGTTCTTTTATACACATGTTGTTAGGAAACAACAGTTCAGGTATGTGAAACTGGGTTAAAATTAAAAGAGAAAAATGATGGAATGTCAGTCAACGTATCGATTTAAATGATAAATAGGAATGACTTCTTTTCCAGAGGGCTCCTACCCAAACTACTAACATTTATCAGCTTTTTAAACTTAGTGAGATGACTGATACTAATGCATAAAGGAAATTTTACATACTATTCTTATACCACTTAAAAGAAATTCTTGATGGAATTTTTAAACTTAGCTTTATTACACCTATTAAAATGCTCAGATATCTCATAATTGTGCCATGATTCGCAATGTAAACGTGATGACTACATTAATTCTAACAGCAATGTGAAAAAAATGCAAAGGAAATCACCTGTACTCCCATCAAAGCCTCCCACGGCATACAGCAATCCATTTAATACAGCAGCCCCCAAAGTGCTTCTCCGGTCTCGCATGTTAGCAACACTGGTCCACTGATCTTTCACGGGGTCGTAGGAATCCACAGTGCGGACTCGTAAGGAACCGTTAAAGCCACCGACAGCAAAAACCAGACCAGCCATGTAGACCATGCCTGCACAAGAAAAACAGCAGTTAACGATGACCGTGTGACCACACTACCATCAGTACCTAAAGGCTGCTTTCAATATGTCTACAGCTGTTATTAGAATAACTGATTCTTAAGAGAATCCTGACTGAATAAATAGGTCCTAAGAAATGCTATTCATTAGCAAGACTTCATAATGACTAAATGGTCCTCCTTTCTAAGATTATTAAAATGCAATGGGCCTGGCAGATTGAACATCGACCTATGAATTAGGAGGTCAAGGTTCAACTCCTGGTCAGAGTACATGCCAGGGTTGCAGGCTCGATCCCCAGTAGGGGCTGTGCAGAAGGCAGTTGATCAATGATTCTCATCATTGATGTTTCTCTCCATCTCCCTTCCAGTTCTAGAGTGTTTTATCTTGCTTTAATATATTATCATTTATACACAATGATGCATGTATAAGAAACTCATTTTATCATTGTTTATAACATATTAAAAACAATCTTAATGTTCAATTAAAACCCAGTAAAATTTGTACTACATCCAGATCCCTCTCCCCCCTACCAAAAAAATATTAGACGGTTCTTAAAGAATGTGGTAACTCTCGCCGAAACCGGTTTGGCTCAGTGGATAGAGCGTCGGTCTGCGGACTGAAGGGTCCCGGATTCGATTCCAGTCAAGGGCATGTACATTGGTTGCCCGCACATCCTCGATAGGGGGTGTGCAGGAGGCAGCTGGTCGATGTTTCTCTCTCATCGATGTTTCTAGCTCTCTATCACTCTCCCTTCCTCTCTGTAAAAAACAATCAATAAAATATATTTAAAAAAAAAAAAGAAAAAAGAAAAAGAATGTGGTAACTCTATGCTGATATGTAGCAACCTCCAAGATGTATTGTTAAAAGTAATACCATGAGAGAAATGTTCTGTTACACTTAGAATTCATTTTGCTATGGGAACTATGAATAAGGGATCCAAATTTGAGCTTCAGGAAGACTCCTTAGAGTTTGCAACTGCCTTTTCTGATTATAGTTTTACTAACTAAGGTCTATTTTAACAAATGTTTATAAAACGGACGCTGGGAAGAAGGCAACTGTGGCGTATAGCTATTATAAGTTGGGAATCTCCTAGAACTAAAGGTCCCAACCTAAAGGTTCTTTCTCAACATGCCAGCAAGTCATCAAGAAAATTCCCAGCCATTTCAAAATTTCTCCAGGACTTAAAGTAGATTATATGTGATCATGTGATTCTGAAACAGTAAGGACCATTACAACTTGTAAATTCTTAAGCTTCAAAAAGTGGATAAACTAGTAAATTAAAAAAACACACAAACAAAACAAAAAAAAAAAACCATACCCAGCAAATGGCTACCAACTACACCTTATACTAGAGAATCAGAAAGATTTGTAAAGATACTGGCAGAGCAGCTATTCACATCAGTGAGTTATATGGGTCTCCTGAATCACTTAACCATATAGCCATTTTATCAAAGCTTTTCTAATAAAGATTCTTCTAATTAACAAAACTAGAACTGAGCAAGAAGCTCCAAATGGACCCGGCAGTAGGAAACTGCTTACCTGCCCTGCATCTCCTGGAAGGCAATTCTGCTACTTGGTGCCACCGTTCTTCTTTGAAGTCATAGCATTCCACACTTCTGATGGCCTTTGGTGCCTGGCCCCCAACCACCACCATCAACTGGAAGGGCAGAAAAGTTAGCACTTGAACAAACAGCCACTGCACATTCTGGGACTTAAAAAGTCTTACAAACTGTGACTGATGTGGAGAGTGTTAGGATGAAGATGGAAGGGTGAGCTGGGGGGTAACAACCACCTAATGAACATTTCATAAACATCAACAAAGGGGGCACAAGTTAGAACTACAATTCTATTCTGTAGCACATTTAGTCAAAAATAAGGATTTCAGAAACTAAAATAAGTTTCTGATCCTTCAAGCAAAAGCAGTATTTAAGCCAAAAAACAGCAGGCAGTCAGCACTGGCAAGGCTGCAATATGTCATAGGGCTTGCTATAAACCAGATCCTGGCCTTGTAACAATCAGGGATTAGACCTCCACAGTCCCAGAGAACACACAGAAGTGAAATGTATGTTAGTGGGTAGGTGAGGTGCCAAAGACATCAGGTATTAAAAGGAAGATGGAAAGGGGTGGGGGAACTATTGAGAAAGAGAAGTTGAATTGGAGTTCACAAGAGAGCACAAACTCCTGTGGTGTCAAGTCAAGAGACCTCCCTTGATGCCCCACAAATAAACCAATAGGACAGATAATGGACACTAGAAATCATAATGAATGAATGAATGCACAATAATCTAGTGCTAAGGATAAATGAGGTCTATACATTTCTTCAATCAACTCAGTCCAACAATTATTTACTAAGTGTCTATCATATGTAGTTGTCCAAACTGTGCTAGGTATTATACACAAGAAATATAAGACATGGAGGCTACCTACCAAGAGCTTATAGGAGACAAGACACATAAAGTAATTCAAGAACAATATACAACTATATATGACAAAAAAGATATAAAATTACTATAGGCATTAGTTGCTGCTGATGATCAGAAAATGGAACACTGCCATAATTTAGTGAAGAAAGCTTCTGGGAGGATTGGAACCTTGTGAGATAGATGGAATTTAGTAGTCACTGTGTTTGTCCTTCACTGAGTACAAGCAGGCACTTTGTCAACACTGAAAACACAGCCTTCTAATCAGAAGAACATAAAAGTTAAGGATGTTGTGTAGGAGATACCATAAAGAATGGCAAAGGACCTTGGGGGAAAGATGAGGTGATGATAGAAAAAAACAGATGTTCAAAACAAACAAACAAACAAAAAATCAAACAAACAAAAGATGGAATGAGTCACACATACAAAAGGAGGAGGTCTGCAACCTTGACTGAGCCATGACCCACCTGAACTTACAACTACAGAAAGATGCACACACAGAAAACATCATTCCTGATTCAGAATAAATCCCGTTTCCAAAAAGAAGCCTATTTATTGATAGTAATTTATTAACTGGAGAGTAGAAGGAATTTTCAAGGTTTGAAAAAGAAGACAACATAGACCAATTATATGGTTATTTCCCCCCAGATCTGCCACTCTCCTAGTGTTGAATGAAAATAAATAAGAGAAAAAAAATTGACAAAGAAAATCTGCAGTACTCTCTTATCTAATCATCAAAGGGAAAAAATCACTGAGGTAAAATACAACAGTAAGATGAACCCTGTATGTAGAAATTTATATAAGATCTATCTGTATTTAAACTTCTAGCCTCTGCTAGAGGTTAGACAATAGTTGGCAGAGACCTGGTTAACATCTCTGATAAAAATCAACAACAAAAAAATAATTCTGAAGGAAATATTTTTCAAAATAATCATTGAGAAACAATACTGATTCTATTTCTTGATTCTTAAGCTTTGAAGCTCATAATTTCCTATAATAATTCACTTTTGCAACACCAAAATGAGGATGGAAGGGAAAATGTGCTGCTGAGCACAGAGAATGGTAGTAATATCTATCCTTCACTCACCCAAGAGAAGAAAACTGAGGTGAGGTTTTGGGACTTCAGAAATCAGAAATAACAGAGACAAGGAAGAATGTTTAATGGGAAGACAAGAGAGCAGGGATAGTTGCATGAAATCAAGAAACTGATAAAAACCACTGTGCAACTACCATCAAAATAGGTTCTCATGACTTTCACCTCAGTTATTTGTAAAATATACCTGTTCTCATTTGTAAAACACCAGACTACTTATGCTAATTTAAAGGAATAAAGATTTGGGAAGACCTGTTTGTATGGAGAAACTAAATGTGACATACCTGAGGAAGGCAAGGGGTAGGGAGTTAAACATATTCAAGTGACTATCCTGAATGTAGGCCAATTGAACTGTATTCTTTTATTTTCTGCACCTAGCAAATATTAGTTTAAAAACCTGTCCCCTAAAAAAAAAATTGAGTTCTATAATTTCCCAATTGCAAATCTCAATAAATATTCTGAGTAAAACATAAAAAATATATGCAGAAATATTATAGCATTTGTAAAAATACAGATTCCAAAGAGAAAAAGAAGCTAACAATGAAATCCAGAAGCAAAACATATATGGTTTTTCATTATAATGCCCAAATCCAAGAGTGCCTTATACAACCCCAATTCTGTTCACTGAAGATGCAAACCTAATGTTTCATATATATATTTTAAAAAATCATCCATGAAAATTAGCATGAGTACATGGAATCAGAGCCTAATATAAAAGTACTAAGTCACTGTTGTGGAAGAGATATCAAAATATTGCAATACTTTCCTCAGTACTAATGCCACAGTTGGTCTGATTTGATTACTATGAAATATGTAAGCTTTTTAAATATGCACACACAGAAAACATCATTTTTTGTTTCATTCTTACCTACATCCTTAGAATTCATCTTGGATATAACCACTCTAAAATGACAAATAGTGCTGTTGAAAGAGCATCTAACATAAGCACCTTTTCAAAAATACGTGTAGGTAAATAAATTTTGAGACGGATCATGCAAGTACAAAGTCACAGCAAAAGTGTAGCTCACTGAGTGCTTTCTGCCACTTCTGTTGCTCCTCCTCCCTAGCCACCCTGAGAAGCAGAATAAAAGAGAACCTCCATTGATCAGCATAACCACCACAAAATAAAAGCTAAGAACTGAGAAATCCAAAGGCATAATATTGGAAGGGCCACTCCAAAGCTACAACTAGAGAACCCCAGAAACAATGTCAACTTAACAGATGATCACCACTCTAAAAGGAAAAAATAGAATACATGATGGGATTTGGCCAAAAACTTTAGAAGATTTCAAAAGCGACATGTTTATTTCAGAATTTAAAAAAGAATTAGTTTTTACCCCCAAAATCTCTGCAGCATAGCTAATGATAGATAAGTTAAAGATTCCGTTAGAGGGAATATTTAAGTTAAGAAGAGATCTTTTACAAAGATGAACCGTTTAAAAAGTATTAAAGATAAAGCAAACTATGTAGAAAGAAGCTGAAAAGACTAGCATTTTAAAAAAGGTCATTTAAATGAGCCAAAACTATGAATACTTTTTATAAATCTATTTTTTTAAGAGCAAAAACTGACATTAAATAATATGGACAAGTATGAAGTAATGAAGACTTATATAAATGGCTAATTATAAAAGCAGGTAAAAAGGTATTTGGAAAATGTAAACATTTATTAAATCAGCAGACCCAGATGGCATGCATACTAAGGTGTTAAGGGAACTAGCTAATGTACTTACTGAGCCACTTACAATTATTTTTGAAAAATCTTGGAGAACTGAGGAGAGATCAGAAAATTTAAAAAAGGCAAATACCAATTTTCAAAACGGTAGGAAGTGAATGCCTTGTAAATACCTTTAAATTGATAATAATTGTCAGTAAAATTTAGAATATTTTGAGAAAAGCATTCAAACTTCTAGGTTCCAACAAAATGATAAACAACACACAGAGGGATGTTTAAAAAATCATGCCAAATTAGAATCTATTTCACCTTGAATCTCATCAGACATTATATGCCAAATCACTTTTTTTTGGCTTTGATAATAAACATAATCATATGGACTGAAATGTCCTATAAATGGACTATGTCAGTGAGTGGCTATTTTTAATGAGGTGTCACCAGACAGTGTTAAGATCTATTCTAAATTAAAATATTTACTAATGATATAGAAAAAGTAAATAGCACACTGGCAAAATATGCTGTTACTTCTAAATTGAGAAGTGTTGTTAACACTGAGCAAAACAGAAAAAACAATACTATACTGATATAAATTTGAAGCAATTAAAAATGTAGATTCCAAAAATAAAAAATTGAAAAAACACTAAACAAAACATTAAAGTTAAATAATTTAAAGGACATAATTTAATGGAAAGGATAGAGTAATAACTAAAGATGAGGTAAGAAAACAATGGTAACAGATTCTTATTTCTTCATCTATCATTGCCCCAAACACACACAAGAGCTAAAAATAAATGCATAAATAAAAACATGATATCACGGATCATTCTGATTAGACCATACACAAAATGGTGCTTAGAGTGTTGGTCGTCTAGAACCAAAGAGAGGAGGAATTACAACCAGAGAGACAGAAATGATGGAGATTTAAAACAGTAAAACACGAATGGCTTCAATTAAAATATGTAAGTAGAGTATGAAACTTTCACACAGGAAAACACGAACAATGGAAATCTGGAAAATCATATGGGAAATCTACACTGAAATGGCAACATATGATGTATGAATGAACCATCAAATAATATACAACAGGGAATAGGATGGAAATGAACTAAACAAGCTGTTTTAACATCCTTAGTTTAATATGTAACTCTGTGAAATTACTTAGTTTTCAGTTAATTTATCCTCCCCATGTAGCTTACAGAGAATTTCTATCTAGCCTGATTTTCCTTTCTACTATAACTAGAGATAATAAAACTCTACAGGGACAAAACCCAGCTGCCGTCTATTCCAGAAGAGTGACATCATGCAGATTATAAAAATTAAATGAACCAAGCAATCCCCAATCTCCAGAGACAAAATTAATAGAGAAGTTGAATTATATACAGAGAAATGAAATTCTAGGTACATTGTCTGTTGCCTGGAAACTAAAACAATAAAGCATGGAAATCCAGATGAGTAAAATAACACCTCACTAAGCCTTTTAGGTGAAATAAGAACAAGTATAAACAACAGATCCTACTTTGGGAAGGTTCATGGGTGTCCTCAGCCGGGTCCGGACACTCTTCATTAATATACGCTGCTCTGTTGGCAGCAAATGATACTTCATGGCTTCAATGAGGTAATCTTTGCAAGCACTGCTATTCTTGACCAGTGCTTCCTCTTCCACCCTCTGTGAGAAGAAATCACAAAATGCTATGAAGGGAAAGCTATTTCATAATAAAAACTGCCAAAGAAAACAATAGTAAAGAGGAGGAAAAAAGCAAGTAACTATCCTCTCTAATTCAGTCTAAAAGTTACGTTAAAATATCACAGAGAAATAAATGAAGCCAAAAAAATGCTCAAGTATCTGGTCTGCAAAGAAAAACATATCTTACCTAATAATAGACAAACATGTAAATTGACCATACCCTTTGCTACGCCCATAGCCAATCAGCGTGACTATGCAAATTAACTCAAACAAGATGGCGGTTAATTTGCGTATATAGGCACCCAGTGCCTGTGTCCCAGGAACATCCTGGCACCCAGGTCACTGTGAGGTAGGCCTGGGCAGGAACAGACCCCCTGAGATCAATCACAGGGAACTGGGGGTCCCCTCCTGCCCCAGGCTGAAAGCTGTGGACCCCCGGCGATGGATTGCAGGGAGCAGGAGCGGACACCCTGCAATCGATCGCAGAGAGCTGTGACTCCGCTCCTGCCCAAGAGGCTTTCGGCCTGGGGAGTGGCAACCCGGTGATCAGAGGGAGCCGGAGGGGCCCAGTCCTTGATTGGTATGAACTGTAGAGGAAACACCTTTTCTGATTGCACATTGGCTAAGCTTCCTTATGCCACTGGTAATATTCTTAGTAACTTGGGTAATAAGAATCCAAAAAGGTGATCTAGGGTCTTTCTACCACACTTCTGGAGGAAAAAAAACTAAGGTCCGCTGCTGGAGGGCTAAGAAATGTCATATCCTGCCCTAGCTGGTTTGGCTCAGTGGATAATGCCTCAGCCTGCCGACAGCAGGGTCTGGGTTTGATTCTGATCAAGGGCATGTACCTAGGTTGCAGGCCCCTCTGGCGGAGGCCCAGACCAGAGCTCATGCAGGAGGCAACCAAAGTGTTCCCCTCACTTTGATGTTGCTCTCTGTCTTTCCCTTTCTCTTCCACATTCTCTAAAAGTCAATGGAAACATATCCTCAGTGAGGATAAAAAAAAAAAAAAAATAAAAAAATAAAGAAAAGAAAGAAATGCATATCCTATGAAAGACACATCTTGAAAATGCCTAATGAAAGTTGTCATTTTTTTCTTGGTGAAGGGATTGGAGTCCGTGTTGATGAAAACACCTTGGTGGCTGAGGTGACTAGAAATGGCGGCAGCAGCAGCAGGGTGATGGAGCTGGTGCCTTCCCCTGATCAGCCAGGTTGCCTCCTACAAAGGGAGGCCAGATTGCGGCTTAGCCATCAGTAGGACATCCCCTGAGGGCTTCCAGTATGTGAGAGGGGACAGGTTGGGCTGAGGGACTCCCCACCCCCAGTGCACAAATTTCGTGCACCAGGCCCCTAGTCCTATATAATAAAGCCTAATATGCAAATTGACCAAACAGCGGAATGACCAGTCGCTATGACACGCACTGACCACTAGGGGGAAGGCACTCAATGCAGGAACTGCTTGCAGGCCCCAGGCCAGCCAAGGTGGGAGCCAGTGGAGGCCCCCCAATCACTCTGCTAGTCACCCCTCAGAGGGAGGCGACTGGTGGTGGGGGACGGGGACGGTGAGCAGATGGTACCAGGCCAGGCAAGGGGTGCCTCTCCCTCAGCCCCGATCGCCCTGTCAGTCGCCCCACAGATCAGCCCTGATTGCTGACCAAGCCTAGGGACTCTACCCATGCATGACTTTCATGCACCGGGGTCTCTAGTATAAGTAATAATGAACTGTAGCGAAAATTATAGGTCAATATCAGCAATAGACAAATCTTTAGATAATGTTATATCCACCTATTTCTTATCTTTAAACATCAAGCCAGATAGTACCAAAAACAAGAAAAAATAATTTAGATGGAGTCCTTCAGGAGGGGTAGGCAATATTAATAAAGACAAACTTTTTCAAACACAAGACAGCAGCTATTCAGAAAAAGGGTTCAAAATACTTTATAATAGTGGGCCTACACCGCAAATAAGTCTGTCCTTGCTATCCTTAACCTCAAATGCAGGTTTTTTCTGTTCATTTTCTTAACAGCAGAGTACCAATGATTTCACAGATCACAAAAAAATAATGAGGCTCCGAGAAACCCTAAAATGCTCAAATCTAATCTCTTAATAAAAAATGCTTCTTTAAATGGGTTCCATTATAAAAACGTGGAAATGTACTTAGTAGGATGCCAACAACAAAAAATTAAACTTCAAATTTGTTTAGAGACTACTAAAGACCCATTTATACCTCCTATTTATTTCAAATAACCTGGTTTTTCTCAGCTTAGGAATAAAGATAGAAATCAAAGGCATGAAATTACAAAGTAGAATTTAACAGTATCAGTATAGAGTGTCAAAATTCCATTTCTGCACAGCAATTAGAAGAAGCTATCAAAGGAAAAAAACAAAATGCAGAGCAGCTGGGCAGAGCCATAGGTTTTTATTTACTTATGTAAATAAATGCCCACAAATACCACCTGGATAAGCTCTAGTACTTGTTTACCCAATTAGAGAGAGGGCAAACAAATTTACAAGAATGGGATTGGCTTCAGAGAGAGCAGAATAAGGATTGCATGTGCCTTAAATGCTCTCTGCCCTTCACCCCACTCTCAGCATTTTGTAACAGGGATCTACATGAGGTCAGCCCAGTGACACGGTGTCACGTGTATTCATGTGTTTTGCAAATGCTTTTACCTGAACTAAATACTCCCGAGGGAGCAAAGGTAACCGTACATGTTCCATCAGCCGAGCCATAAATTCTTGTCTTACATCCTTGTCGTGGTTTACCCAAGCTATGACTGCTTCAAATACCTTGTGGAAAATATGGGGAAAAAGAAAATAAGTAATGAGTTATGTACCAAGGCAACTGAATAAAATATGATAGACTACATTTCATAACATAACTTTTGCATATAATCCAAGTTTAACCCATGGCTTAATTTTTTTTCTAAAATCCTGATTTGTAATACTTAAATAGCCATTCACTCAAAATCTTTCCTTTTTTATTTGTTGTTTAGCAAATACTTTATTTTTTCTGGATTTACTGAGATATAATTGATAGATAACATAGTGTACATTTAAAGTATACAATCTTAAAGTATTGATTTGATATATTTATATATTACAAAATGATATATAAATTGCTGTAGCTTTTGCTAATACCTCCATCATATCACACAATTACCATTTCTTTTTTGTGGTGAGGACATTTAAGGTCTGCTCTTAGCAACTTTCAAACATATAATACAATATAGTTAACTATAATCACCGTGCTGTATATTATATCCCCAGAATTTGTTCATCTTTTTATAACTAGAAGTTTGTACACTTTAACCAACATCTTATCATTTACCCTTACACCCATTCCCTTGTAACCTTCACTCTATTTCAGAGTTCAACTTATTTAGAGTCCACATACAGCACGAGGGATATTATACAGTATCTATTTGTCTTTCAGTGTGACTTATTTGACTTAGTATTATAACATTCTCAAGGTCCATCCATGTTGTCACAAAAGTTAGTGGTTCTTTTTTTCTCAGGGGTAAACAATATTCCATTGTATATATACACCACATCTTCTTTATCCAGTCATCTGCTGATGGACACTAAGTTGTTTCCATTATCTTGTCTATTGTGCATAATGCTGCAATGAACATGGGAGTGCAAATACCTCTTGGAGACCCTGCTTTCATTTTCTTTGGCTACATATCCAGAAATGGGACTGCTGGATCAAGTGGTAGTTCTACTTTTAAATTTAATAAGTACTTTAATAGTACTTTATATATTTAGTGAGTTCTTTTCATTTGACATTTACTAAGCCAGACAAATGAGTGAAGGATATTCCAGACACAGGATGCAATGTGCAGAAAGGCCACAGCCCCAGATATATGGCTCCAGTAGAACCATGCCAGACATCTGGGGCTCCCGACACTGTAGAGCAGGGACAAGCTCTCTCTATATGCTCTGAATGAATTCTGCCCAAAGAATTTTAAGCATAATATGACAGTTAATGTTTTATGTCACTATATTTTAGAGTGGCCTGTATGCAGCAACAGAAAACCACAAGAGCCTCCATTTCTCTAATCCAAGTATGATGATGGGTACGTATCCTCCTAATGCTGTAACTTTTTAAAGGTTCTGCATCATTAGGATGAAGTCAATTTTCTTTAGTGTGACTGTCATGTTCCCATCTTATCTCCTACCATTCGGCCAAACATATTCTAAACTCTAATGCTACTGAACCAACTACATGAAATTATTCGTTCACACCTCTTTACACTTACATGTTTTGTTCTCTCTACTTGGAATGTCCTTTCCCTTCCCACCCATCCTCATTTCCATGGCAAACTCATTCTCATTTTTAAAAACTTGATTCATATATTGAAACCAAGCTGAATTCTCACTACCATCCCCATCACAGGAATAATTAAATACTCCTATAGTACCCTCTACAGCAAGCATGTCAAACTCGCAGCCAAGCCAATATAAGGGTATGTAAGAAACGTTTCAATAAAAATTTCATAACTTAATTTTTACAATATCCTGTTACACAGAATTATTAATAAACTACAATATTCACTAATGACTGACTACTACAATTGTATTGCATTCATTTCCCTTATGCACCTTACACACAGGTGCACCATTTCTCTCCACTAATACTGAGAGCAAATATTTTAGCAGCCGAATGCCATGTCATTAGTCTTGTACTGACTTGCTTGGTGTGCACAAAAGGAAGTACTTTGCTTTTAGAAAACAAGAAAAATAGGTTTACTTACATTACACATATTAATTTGTGCAGTTATTCGGTGTCTGGTAAGTTAATGCTCAAGAAAAAATATTTTTATTAAAATATCCTATTATTTTATGTTAACGATTACTCATATTTCAGCCCTTTGTATTCAGCATATATCTATCAAAATAAACCTACATTTCTATGAAAATTGAAGCTTTTGTTTTTTTGTGGCCCACATAAACTTAAACGTTGTTTATTTGGCCCGTGTTAGCCTTTGAGTTTAACATGCTTGCACTACAGCATTCTATACTCATTTACCTCACCGGCTGTCCCTCTAACCTATGAGCCAAGAATTCTATTTTGTTTATTTTCTTGTACCTAAGACTCTATGACAGTTTCTGGTATGAGGAATAGAACTAAAGTTTACACAATCTGAGATGCAAAGTACACAAAGAAAAGTTCCAGTTTTACTTCCTCCAAACATAGTATGTTCACAAATTTTTGTGCCCTGATTCCCCTGGGTTATAAAACCTACCCAAAGGGAAAAACCCAGTAGGAGAAGCTGCTCCCACCACCCATGACAATGGTGCAGGTGGCTGACAAAACAACCCAAAACGTGGAGACAGAGGCTACAAGCAGATGAAGCGCTGCACGGTGTCTGGGAGGGAGGGCAGAGCCCCGGTAGGGCTGGGATGTAAGTGACAGAGGACCGCTCTAAAGGAAGAGGGCAGTCAAGGATGTTCAGTCTGGAAGCAGCCAACCCTTGCCACCCAGGGTAACTTCTTCCAATGTACATGATGGTACAATTACTTTGGTTTGAGAAATATGCCTTTAGATCCCAATTACAGGTGTCTAGCTGTGGGAAGAAACCCAGTTTCCAAAAGGCACTTGTTTCAGACAGTTTAATGTGTGCAAGTCCTTCCCATAGAGGTCAAGTACAAAACTCTAATGCCTAACAGCTTTCAAAATCTCCCAAGAGTGAAGAAACAGAGTAATTTACACAGTCAACCAACAAATTTCGTAACTTTCAGATCTAAGATCACTGGCTGGCACATACAGGATCACAAAGTTACCAAAGTGAAATAAAGAAAAGAAAAATTGTACATCACTTTACACTGGGGGGAAATATATATGTACTTACCTTCTCTTCTGAGGATATGGTAAGTTTGTCGCTTGAGATTAAGCTGCACACTTGTTCAATGCCGAGATTGAGAAATTCTTCACTAAGTACAACATCTGCAAAATGTTGCTCTGTTTGGAGGTTAAAAAGAAAATCTATTAACACCAACATTCCACTATCATACTTTCAAACTGTTTTAAAAAGAAGGGTTTTTTTATTAATCTAATCCAATAATGAAAAAAGAACTGTTCATCCTCAAGGCAAATGATCTCTTGGGTGCCAAGACCCTTCAATGGGAAATGAATACTCTCAACAACTGATGCCAGAATACTCAATATCCACATTCAAAATAATGGAGGAGGGCTCTTAGGATGAATTTGATTGGTGACTTATGAGCTCCATAAGTTTGAATATCCAAACTTCTTCCCAGATTTGGGAAGCTGACAACCATTTTTCTTTCAATAACCTTCTACTTCTAGAACGCAAATGATTCACAAATTGGTCCTTTTGGTATCCCATAGGTATCAAAGGCTTTCTTACTAATTGTCAATGTTTTTACTTTTTTTTTTCTCCTCTGACTAGAGTTTCAAAGTTTCTGTCTTCAATCTAACTGATCCTGCTTGATCCAATTTGCCACGGATGCTCCCTAGTGCAGTTTTTATTTCACTCAATGAATTCTCCAACTCCAGATTTCTGTTTGGTAGACGTGTCCTTTTGTCACGTACTGTTTTGCTAATTTTGTTGAATTGTCTTTCTGTGTTTTCTTGGAGCTCATTAAAGTTTCTGTAAAATAGCTATTTTGAATTTTTTATTGGGTAAATCATAGATCTCCATGTCTTTGGGCTCAGTTATTGGAAGACTGCAGTGACTCTTTTGAGGTGTTATAGGTCCTTCATTTTATGTTCCTTGGAGATTTGCACGGCTGTCTTTGCAATTAAAATAGCAGTCACTTCCTCCGGTCTTCACTAACTGCCTCCGGGAGAGAGATGCCTTTCCACCGCCCCGTTAAAGATTCTGAGGCTTCCCCTGGGGTTCAGTGCATCCATCTCTCTTGAAACATGTAACCTGAAAATGAACTCCATTTCACAGATATGTTCTAATCTGGGCAGGACAAAATGTGACATTTTACACCTTTTGGGACACAATTACATTATCTATTTCTGTTGAATAATTATCAACTAAAACCTTAACATGTTTGGATTGGTTTGGCCAATAGACGCCTAATATTTGTCAGAAAGCTGAGATAAAAAAATTCTTTCCTTTTACTAAATGAGTTTTTATTCCGCTTACCATACCTCAGTAAGGTACAGTCAAAATGAGCAGCTATTGTATACTGGCAATACATACAAACTAAAATGTAGCTAACAAAGCATTTACTTAAAATGTAATGCTGAAGAGCAAGTCATCTCAGCATTTAGTCTTTTCCCTCTACTTGGATCCAGGGTTAGTTCCCATATCCACAATCTTGCTTCAGCCACCTCCTATCTTCATTACACCAGTTCTCTTACCAACCTCATCTACTGTTTCCACTCCTTTCACTCACAATTTGACAGATTATTCTGTTTCTAGCACAGAGCTTTCACAGTGACACTAGTAATTTGCCTTTAAGGGTTTACCACTGTCATGAAGTAAAGCCAGCCTAGTTATACTACCATTCAGTAATCAATTCCACCTCTCTGAACAAATCCTATCATTGCAAAAGGACATAATTCCCATAAATATGCAAAATGCATTAAATATATATGTACTATAGTGCATACATTACATATGTGCGTGTGTGTGTGTGTGTGTCGTGTGTGCATTCTTCCTTATATAGAACAGAAGGCTTCTCTTTATTCTCTATAGCTGTTGAATGTTCCTGTTTGCTTTCCTTCTGAAAATAAGATAACCTTATCAAGAAATGAAAGACAGCACTGGCCAGTGTCCATCAAGGACACTTGTGGGAGGCAACCAGTCAATGTGTCTCTCTCATGTTGATGCTTCTCTCTCTCTTTCTTCCCCTCTTTCTCTCTCTCCCTCCCTTCCTACTACTCTCTAAAGATCAATGGAAAAAATATCCTCAAGTGAGGATTTAAAAAAAAAGAAAGAAATGAAAGACAATCCCTAGGATTTATCAAACCAAGTTAGGTCCCTTATCCCAAATTAAGTCAATGAATTCAACAACAGAAGTCCAAAGTTTTGCTTGTTCTGTTTTGTATATATTCTGATTTCTAACCACCTTTTTAAAAAATCAAAATTAAATGCTATGTGGGATTTCTTAATTCCTCTATACTCCACCTAGACTCTCATCTGAGAAGTGAGGTTAAGTGCATAGATAACAACAGTATTTTAGACCCACAAACAGCTCATCTCTGAAAGTATTTGGGGGAAAATAAAGATATCTCTAGTCTTCATTTTTCTAATTAATAAAATATAAGGGGTAGAGTAGATAAATCCTAAGGTTCCCTACAAGTGCTAACACACTATAATTCTTTGATTCTGAACACTATTAGTTTCGGGGGGGGGGGGGGGGGGGAATGCATTTATGTATCTCCAGCAGTTCCATTAACACAGTTTTGGTGAAACCTGAAAACAGCTCAATCATTTCAGCTAGAAAAACTGTCAACAAAGAAGAACAGAAAGAATGCATGTGGTTTGCTAGGGCATAAATGAGCGCCATAATGAGTGAGAGAATATAAAAATGATTAATCCTTTTAAGAAGTGCCATTCAAGTCTACAGGAATCCAACCTAGATGTGCTATATAACAAATGCTTTCACAGTTCTCCAAAGAAGCATCTGTATAAGTCAATTAACATTACAATAGACCCTTGAGTAATTAGCACCTATTCTTTGGTATGCTGATTATTACTAATATCACACCATCAAGATCAGTAATGCTGTTATTAAAACCATTCTTTCAACATAGAGGGCAGCTTTCAAATGCATGAGCTTATTTTGACAGATGTTTATCTCCCGCAGTGGTTCCTAGACTAAATGAAGAGAAGGTGGCACATGATTGAAGTAAATTGATTAAAGAAGAAAATGTTATGAGAACTGCTTTTACAGAAAATAGGGCACAATCTGAATATACTAAATTTAGGTGTGAGTTGATTATTACTGGCCTATAAAAATCCTTGTTGTAAGCAGAGGTTAAATTGTATTGAGCCTGCTATCACCCACAGCAGTGTGGGTAACGCCAGGTACATAGAGAGGGTAGCTAAGAAATGACTGACCATTGGATCCTGGCTGAGCAGCTAAGAGATAGCTGAGCACAGGTTTATGAAGAAACACAAGCCCAGGAGAAGGGAGGAATATGGTCAGCACAAAAGATGAGACGTTGGTATTCCAAATCCCAACCAGTTCTTTTGTGCCCTGGAACTGTGGTCTTAGGTGGCAAGTGTGTTTGTGGAGGAAAGACAGAGGTCACAAGGAACTAGGAAAGGGGTAAGGGAGCCAACAGTACAGATGTGGAAGGTGCTGCTGGCAGGGGAAATCAAGTATAGTGGGAAAAGGCAATCTAAGCATCAAGGGCAAATATGCCTGGAGGCTTGGAGAGAAAACTGCAGAGAGAATGCTGCAGACTGAAAACCAGCCAGCCAGTGCAGAGGCAAGGATGGTGATACTGACAGAACAATAGTCTGGAGGTAATACCCTTTGACCCACCTCCCCAGTAAGTAAAGATTATCCATGAGTTGACAACTCTTAAAATTGGATAATGAGTATTACTCTATTTTTTATGTGTTGTATCTTTTTGTAATAAAAGACATTATAAAATATTGCTTGTAAACTTAAGAAATTCAAGCAAATTTAAGATTCTGGAGCAGCTTCCTACCTGGTGAACATATGGCGATGTGGGTACACCCCCAAGAGGGCAAGGAAACTCTGTGCCCTTTCCCCAGCCCTTGCCCGGTGCATTTCCTCCATCTGGCCTGTCCCCCAGTCATATCCTTTCGTAATAAATTGAGCTCCAGGACCTAACTTCAAAAGATACAGACTCTGACCTTCAGGCATTCCAGCTCTGGGAGACTTGCTGACCTTCAACCGTAAAACCAGGATGATATGATGCATACCATACCTCTGCTTGACCAGTTTCTGATCTTTCCTTATCTGAACAGACTGTGCTGGTTCGCATGCAGAAAACTTTTCAACCCTCTCCCCTTTATCTCTCTGTCCTGTTTTCTCTCCCCCTCCTTATAAACCTCTACCTGCACTGAAATGTTAACATGGTCATTGGGACAAGAGTCCCCATCTTCTCAGACTGCTGGCACTTAAATAATCATTATTCCTTACACACACACACACACACACACACACACACACACACACACACACACCAAGAAAAAAAAAAGACTCAGGAGCATGGTTTAAGAGCAGCACATCCTTTAAGAGTACTTTAAGACTAGACTTTGATTGAAAAGACTGCATTCAAAAAGAAAATCCATTTTTTCTTTATAATTTTGCTGCAAGTGACAGTAATTACAAAGAAGGACTCTAGAAACTAAGATATGGAAGTGTTTTAATATTGATGGAAAACTGTTCATCTTTTATAGCATACTGTAACAAGTTTAAGATTTTGAATAAAAGAATTAACAAAATCTGTTTGCTGAAAGCACAGTACATGCATTTTTTTCTGATAGAGTAAAACTATGAGATCTAGTAAGTACATCATATAAACCATGTATGGACATCTTTTGCATTAATCCTGCTTTATTCATTCTCTCCCTAGCCCCTGTCCCATCTCTAACAGTCAGTAATGTTTATCAAGCACTTTGGAGACAACTAGCAGCCCAAGGAAGATGCAATGTTAAATAGTGATTACTTTATGCAGAAAAATTATCAAAAAACATATATGATTCCTTGATTTACCTGATATAACTCATTTAAAACAGTCACATTATGTCTAGCAGTTGATCAATCTTATGGATTTAGAAGGAATACTTTCTGTTTAGCTGAAGAAGAGAATTGGTTGTATGGAAACACATCAATGGATTCTAATTTGTCTTTGGTTTTTCTTAAAATGCCTCATCTCATGGATTTCATGAATATCATTATACATTACAGGCATTCCCCAACTTACAAAAGGGTTGTGTTCTAAAAGTTTATCTGTAAACAAGCTTTCTGGAACTCATATCACATTTTCCTACTGAAACAATTTTTTAAAGGGCAGTCAGGCCAATCTACAGAAATCTATAAAGCTCAAATTTATTGGATCTATTATGTTTTATTGAAGCACTGTGGCTTTTCGTTTTCAGCTAACCACCTTACACCATTATTTCTTGGGTAAATGCAAAAGGAGTTCTGTGAATAATTCTCCTTTCCAATGCTCTGCATGTGCACGTACACATACACATACCCCCAGACTTCCCCACACACATATCCCTTGCCCAGATCCATGTACCAAAATGTTCCTTTCTCATCAAAGTAAACATGATGGAGCAGAGTTTAGATGAAGGGCTCTTGATTTTGAAGGCTAGAAGAAGTAGGAGTTACAGAGCTAATTAAGGGGCAATGGTTACGGAAGGTCCTATAGTAACTGTTCCTATTGGTCTCACGGATATATAGGACTGATGGTGGACTGTAACTTCCACAAGATTTATCTTCTAGAAAGATGGTTAAAAAAAATACAAACTTCCTAATAATCACTTTTAATATATATATTTAAATGTTTGTAAACTCAAAGCAAAATAAATTATTGGTTACTTTTGTGTTCTTTAGCTACATCCAAAGCTATATCAAGAATCTCTCCTCTCCAGAGAGGGGGATCTGAGGGTCTTACATAGCAACCAAGCTATGGCTTCCTTGACAACAACAAGCCCTTCCTCTGCCAAGGGAGAGGATGCCAGCACAAGAGTCTAGAAACCACTGTCTAAAGAGAGGGCTGCCTGTGTTGGATCTACTTTTCTTTTCTTTTTTCCTTATTAATCTTCACCTGAGGAAATTTTTTCCATTGCTTTTCAGAGAAAATAGGAAGAGGAGAGGAGAAGGGGGGGGGGGGGGAGAAGAAACTTCAATGTGAGAGAGACATATTGACTGGTTGCTTCCCACATGTGCCGCAACTGGGTGGCAGGAAGTGAACCCACATCCCAGATAGGTGCCCTTGACCAGGAATCGAACCCGATACCCTTTGGTAGGTGGGCCGACACTCTTAACCACTGAGCAACATGGACCAGGATCTACTTTTCTTTTCTTTCCAGTTTTTTGTTTTTATTGGACCTACTTTTCTATTCCACCCAAGGCATCTAGATCTTCACTGCTTTAAAGGTTTTTAAGCAAAAAGGTTATTTTCGTGTATTCAAGAGGATGGTGTAAAAAACCACAGAAATAAAATGACTTCATTTCCTATGCAAACAATGACTATTAATTTGAAAAGTTGAAAGACAAATACATAGGGTTTCAAAACTTGTATAAAATCAGTTATCCTATTACTTAGGTCCAAGACCAATTTATATTGTTTTTCTTTTTAAGTTCAGAATTTTATGAGCATGATTCAATTATACTGTGCTACCATTATAACATTTTAAATGTCTTCTTATAAAGTCCAGATCCAGAAACAGGACATGACTTTCCAGAAATCACTATAAATTCACTTCAAAATTCAAGTTTTCCAGATTCCTCCTGACTCAGCAGAGGTCTATTTGACTTGCCTGCATAGGTGTTGGCCTTGTTCAGGAGGTCTGTGCATGCATGCATATCAGCAAAAGCCCGGATTCCTAAGCAGTTGACAGGGTGAAGCTGAGATTCCAAAAATTCACAGCAAGTCTTCTTCACATCCTGTAACTGTAACAAACCAGCAGCTGGAAGAAGCACCTGTAACATACAAGTAAGCATGGTAAGGCAACTGGCTGGAGGAACACTGTCACTATTTTACTGCTTCTGCAGAGGGCACAAGAGGTCCAGCCATAGCTTATGATTTGCCTCCAGATCCATACACAAAGAAGTAATCTAAAGATCATTTGCAAAAAAAAGAGAGTGATGCCTCTTTATATTCCTCATAATTTTTACAGAATCTTTCAAAGGTCCTTTCTTAGTCATAAGAATATAAGAGTAATTAGATCATATTAGATGTAATGATTTCTTTTATAAGCATACAAAATATTCTTTTAATTTTAAAAATATAAGTTGTTAGTATGCTAGGGGGTGCTATGGTTCAGTGAAAATGACTTTTCTCCCTTGGTTGGAGCGGTCATGGGATGAGCTTCATTGATTTGTGGAGCAGGCGTGAGCCCAGAGGAGTACATACCATAGCAAAGCCTCATTTTGCTCATGCACTGTCTGAACAACAAAACAAATTGCTTCCCCTGGGGGGTAGCACAATTTTAAATTCAACACTCTCTAGCTATAAGCAGACAGTGTCTCTAGAATGTAATATATGTGCTAAAAAGGAAAACATAAAAGTGACTAGTAACTTTTTAATTAGTTTATTTGAATACTCCAAGGAATTTTCTTTAATGATAGGTTATTCTGTAGGATTTAGCTAGTATCTTCACTATAAGAACTATATCTAACACTACAACTGCTTTTCAAATAGGTCAATGATGAAAAGGTTTTTCCTTGTATGTGAATTAGTGCAGTGCTATGTTAAGGACCACATTTGAAAGTCAAATTTAGGAGGAAAACTTCATAAAAAGAAATTCTTGAACATCTGCTGTTCTTTTATAAAAGCCAAAAGAAAAAAGAAAAAGCCTCAACTATTTAGAACCATGGTCAGTTTTAGAAAAGATCACGTTAGCATAAAAAAGAAATAAGACCTCCCTAGCTGGGTTGGCTCAGTGGATAGAGCGTGGGCCTGTGGACTGGAAGGTCCTGGTTCCGATTCTAGTTCAGGTACATGCCCGGCTCGATCCCCAGTGTGAGGAGCACAAGAGGCAGCCAATCAATGATTCTTTCTCATCACTGATGTTTTTCTCTCTCTCTTCCTCTCTGAAATCAATTTTATATATATATATATATATATATATATATATATATATATATATATATATATTTTTTTTTTTTTTTTTTAAGAAATAAAACCTAAGTTCCTTCAGTAATTGACTTTCAAATATGCCACCGAGGAAAAAGAAATAATAATTTTGAATATCTTTTACAATGTTCCTAAATGTATGTTTGTCGTCCTAAATGTGGGAGAGTGCATCGTATCTTTCTATAACACAAGCCACTCTACTTTCTTAAAGAAACCATGTAAGTTTTAACTCTCAGATCTACAGACTGTGTGTGTGCCCACATGAACATAATCAAATGGTCATGAATTAAGGACTAAAAGGATAACTTATGTTTCAGTCCAAATCCATCAACGAATATCCTGTTTCCCCGAAAATAAGGCAGTGTCTTATATTAATTTTTGCTCCCAAAGATGCACTAGGTCTTATTTTCAGGGGATGTCTTATTTTCGGGGAAACACGGTATTTGGTTTTTTTTAAACAAACATAAACAATATGTATTCATGAAAAGGTAATGCCTTTTCCTTCTAATTTAAGAAAATTAATAAAGTGCAAATAATGCTGTTTACAGCCAAACCTTTTGTGTACTATGTATAGCGTGTTTCATTATGTTATGAGAATGAATCTCCATGGAAGACTTTAGTTGAGATAATTTGCAAACTGGAGGATTTCCTACACTGGTATAATTGTGCTCTGAAGCAATGTAAAGTGCATTCCAAGATGCTTAACAAATACAACCATTTAATTCAACCAATATGAATAGTTAAGAAAGTGGTCTTCAGTGTAAGATTCAATCTCTGTGAAATTTGCACAAATAGCAATGATTACCCATCTAATCAGCATTTTCCCAGAAACAACACAGTGCAGTTGAAAAGTAGTCGAATTGTTTGGCAATACAGAAAGAGATACTTGGAAGGGGGGAAAGTGACTGAGCAGAAACAGGCTCACTCATACATTGCTGGTGGGAATGTATATAGGAGTTGGCAGAAATAGGTTTACAGTTGCGAATACCTGAAACACAGTTTGTTCTTGTATTATTATTTCTTAATTATTGTATTATTTTCCATAAACCTACTCTTGTCTACCCTATATTGGTTCAGCCCTCATGAAGAGCAATTTGTCCATGTCAATTAAAATTGCAAATGCCTATATCCTCTGACCCCGCAATTTAACTTACAGGTACACTAACATATGCAGAAAATCTCACATGTACAAGACATTCATTAGAGTATTATTGTGGGTAATAGCAAAAGTTAGAAAAAAAGCTTAAATGTCTATCTTAAAGAGACTGGTTACTTATAATAATCTATTCAATGGACTATTCTGCAGTCATTCAAAATAATAAGAATGGGGTATATGAATGAGATAATTTCTAAGATATGTTAAATGAAAAAAAAATCAGTGTTCAGTTCATAGTATACTAACATACACTTATTGATCCACATTTATATATGTATCCATCTTTTAAAAAAAGCAGCTACAACAGGCTTTAACATTTTTTATTCTGAGTAATTTCAACATTAATATCAAACCCAGGTCTACCTTATGAAGAGACTAAAATTTATAAAATTGTAGAATCTCAGACCTGAAGACGATAAAACAAGTCAGGTAGGCCAGAAATATAAAAGTTACTTATATGTAGGGCATCAGCCAGAAATACACAAATAATTTTTTGTTGATGTCAATGAATCAAGTGCTTCCAAGCTTGGCAAACATATATTAAATATAATTGAAGTGTTAGTCAAAGGTATAAAACAAGTTTATTCAACCTTTCCTTGTGTTACTAAATCCTTTAAAAATGCCTCCGTTTTATGATGTGATTTTACTAGGACTAAACTTCAACAGCTCGTAATTATGAAATTTATGACATACAGCTTCAAATACAATTAATAACTGGTCCAGGCTTACTAACATGACCCCTGGTGATCATCAGTCACTCATGATGAAAACAGGAAAGCAGCTAGGGCCACACCAAATTTCTAATTACTTTGCATATTAGTTGGGTAGCCAGCTAGAGAAAAACAAGATAAAAAATGCTCCATGGGGGATGGACATATGTAATACTTTCAACAATAAAGATTTTTTTTAATGCTCTAAATTTGAAATGACACATATCCAATAATCAGAACCACTCAAAACAGCTGGCAGCCTATGAGCTTGATGCCCTGGAATAAAATCAAACCAAACCTCCTACTTTGTCTGATAAAGAAACCAAACACTAGAGAGGCAAATGAGTTGACCAAGTCATGTAGCTGGTGAGTGGGAAACTAGGGTTACAATCAAACTCACCAACTCTTGTGTCTATTGTTTGTTCTATTATCTTGAGCCCCCTCTCACAGTGCAGAATAGAAGTGCTGACCTAAATTCTATTGTTCTTTCAGCAAGAGTAATAAAAATAATAAACACCTCCACAACAGGTTCTTGCAGCTGTATCCACTGACTGAGTGATTAAATGAATTAGGCACTGTGCTAAGCACTTGGCAGGTAACAATATCTCATTATTCCCATTGTATGTATACAAGTGAATACAGAGGCTTGAAGAAGTTTGGGTAACTTGCCCAAGGCCACAGACCTAGTCTAGGTTAGGCCTGAGTCTGCTATGAGCACAGTACCATGTTTCCCTGAAAATAAAACATCCTCTGAAAATAAGACCTACTTACAGGTTTCCTTCTGAGTGAAATATAAGGCATCCCCCAGAAAATAAGGCCCCCCTTAGGCTCTATCTCAGAATGAAAATTAATTTACTGTAAACTGGTGGCTAGGGCTGCCCCAACTGGCGTCTAGCAACCAGTGACCATTACTCAGAATCCTGATTCACTGCTGTGTGGAGGCAGAGCGGAGGTCAGAGTGAACAGTGAACGCAGGGTGGGAGAGAGGAAGAGATTTTCGCAGATGCGTGTAGAAGAACAGGAGAATTAGAGCAGACGGGACGCGGCGAAGGTGGTGAGTGCTGGTCTGTCTTTGGTGACACTACCTGATGCTCACGGCCGCCCTCATGATGACTGAAGGTTCTCAGTCAGTGGCAGACCCTGTTACAGCCCAGATCCAGGCCCCAGCAAGCCCAGTGACAGTCCCCAGGCAGGCCCCAGGGGGTAAATGTCTGATAAAGGGGTAGGGGGGATATCTGGTGAAGGTGTTCAGTGGCACAGGGGTGGAGTGAGGGGGATCACTTAAAATGACACAGGAGAATCAGAGGGGCAATCGAAATGATACAAGAGGATCAAAAGGGGTTACTAAAATGGTAATCCCCCTCTGATTCTCCTGTGCCATTTTGATTCCCACCTCTGATCCTCCCTGTGTCATTTTAAGTGATCCCCCTGACCCCACCTTGATACCCTAATTCCTTTTTTTTACCCTTAGAAATGAGTGCAAAAAGAAAAAGCTACTCCATGGAGTACAAGAAAGGAATTGTGGAAGACTCTTGGGGCCAAAATCTTACTGCTTTCTGCAAAGAGAAGATGTTGAGTATCCGATTGGTCCAAAAATGGCGAGCAGAGTATGGTAACCTCATTGAACAAGTGGACAAGGGAAATGCTAAAAAGCACAAGTGTGGATCAGGTTGGCAACCATTATTTTCTGAGCTGGAAGACCTGATCTGTGAAAGGGTTGTTGACAGGAGAGCAAAGGCTTTGGTTGTGAATAGGGCTCAGATTCAAGAATTTGACCTTGCAATGGCACCATAGTTTGACATAGCCCCTGAAGACTTCAAAGCATCACAACACTGGCTGGATAATTTCCTTCAGTGAAGTGAACTGTCTTTAAGAAGATCTACAACATTGTTTAGGTTGGAAGATACTCAAATTACTAAGCGAGCACTTGCATTCAAGTCCTTTACTGATGATGCTGACTTCTCTAAAGACAATCTTT